GAAGGTTGGCGTGGTGGAGAGGCAAGGGCGCTGGAGTGTTTGGCGAATGGTGTTGGTATGGTTGGCCTGCTTGTGTCGGCGATCTGTGGTAAGCTGCTGGCACTGGCGTAGGTTCCCCTTGGTGCCCTGGCGGCTTTCTTTCTCCTCGCGAATGCTCCTCCCCATCATCGACGGACCGCCGCAGGACCGGATCGCGAAACATGACGGCAGCGCGTACGGGGGCTTAGAGTCGGCGGACAGGCTGCTCCATGGGCCGCAAGCAGCAGGCACTGGCAGTGGGGCGCGCAGGGAGCGCGGCGACGACAGCAGAGGGAATGCGCCGTGGGCGAGTGCTGCCGGCGATGGTCGTCGGGCGTTTGGCGATGTGGATGCGACGACGACGAGATGGAAGAGGGAAGATGGGATGGGGGCTGGTGTGGAGCTGCTTGAGCGCCGTCTAGATCACACACGAACGGTTGGCAAGTCAGCTTCTGCTTAGTGCGGCTGCGGCAACTCTGTCCTGGAGCAGCTCCGGGCGTGATGCAGAGCCGCGATGAGGTTTGATGGAGAGCATGCGACGCCCTACAGGCTCACAATATGTGACACGGCGGGCTGCGGACTGCGTCGAGCATGTCTGGCATGGCCGCATTACTCGTGGGGACCTTCATTGCGACTCTGCTCCGCCACTGGGCGTGCCTCTTAACAAAGCATCTGAACCCCATCTCTCGTAGGAGCATACACGCCCAGATGGGTGCATCGACCAATAATTGCGTGCATGCAAACGGCGCCATGCAGCGTGCAGCCGCTTCTCGTCTGTGCCGATCTGCCTGAGTGTACTCGATTCCACGCCTCTGTTACTACTCGCTGCCGACGCCTGAGCATTTCTTATTTCCCTTCTCAGCACCTACAACTCGTCGCTGCTCCGCGTGCCGGGTTGAGGCGTTGCCAGCTTCGGCTAATCTACCACGAGCCTCTGGACCACGGCGGACGTGCGCACCTCATTTCCTCTCCATCCGATGACTGACTCTGTATATATTGCCGTCTCCATCGAGTCTCTCGTGCACGTCACAATGCCAACGCGCAGGCACAAAAAGCGAACAGGGCACAATGTTGGGGCTGCAAACGCCCATTGGATGAAGCCTCACCACGACGGTGACGGAAGGCGCGACCATGCCGCGAAGACCCCATCCGCTCTAGCTCCTTCGGTCGTAGCGCGGCCCGAGCGTAGATCGCGCTAAAACTCTGGGCGGCATCAATTCTCGAACTTTTTTGCAGAGGCGCATCCACCCCGACGAGCGCAGCAACAACCACCTGAAATCACCATGGCTTCCGTATACAAGACCCTGTCCGGCGCGGAGAAAGAGGAGAAGGAGACGGGCGAGAAGCGAAACAAGCAGCGTGTCCTTATTCTGGTACAAATCCACGCGCGGCGCAAACCGAGACCCTTGCTAATGATTGTTAGAGTTCAAGGGGTGTTACTTTCCGTCACCGACACTTGCTACAAGACTTGTACTCGTTGATGTGAGTGGTTTGTGCGACCAGAGAACTTCATTTACTGATATTTTGAAAGGCCCCATAGCCGGAAAGAAGCCAAACTTGACACCAAGACCAAGCTTTATCAACTCAACGAATTAGCAGAGCTCTACAACTGCAACAATGTCCTCTTCTTCGAAGCTCGTAAGGGCAAGGATCTTTACTGCTGGATGTCCAAGCCACCAAACGGTCCCACTGTAAAGATGCACCTGCAAAACTTGCACACCATGGAAGAGCTCAACTTCATTGGCAACTGCCTGAAAGGATCACGGCCAGTCCTCTCTTTCGACGCCGCCTTCGACAAGCAGGCTCATCTTCGCGTGATCAAGGAACTCTTCACCCAGATCTTCGGCGTCCCCAAGACGAGCCGAAAAGTCAAGCCTTTTGTAGACCACGTGATGGGTTTCACAATCGCAGACGGCAAGATCTGGATCCGCGTGTTCCAAATCAACGAGAGTGAGACTAGCAAGAAGAAGCCTGCCGATGGCGAGGAGATGGACGTCGATGAGGCGCCCAAGAAGAAGAAGGGAAGCGAATTCGATGTCAGCCTCGTTGAGATCGGTCCACGTTTCGTGCTCACTCCGATTGTTATCCAGGAATCTAGCTTCGGAGGTCCAATCATCTACGAAAACAAGGAGTTCGTTTCGCCCAACCAGATCCGTTCCGACTTGAGGAAGTCAAAGGCCGGCAGATTCAACAAGAGGACCGACGCTCAGAGGGATACCCTGCTCAAGCACCAGGATCTGGGATTGACGTCGCATGGTGGAGTCAGGAAAGAGAAGGACCCGCTCAGCGACAATGTGCTGTTTGCGTAAAACTGTTTGCCATGTTTCGAGGGAAGGAAAAAGGGCGTTTTTGGAATGCATCGTCTTATTTAGATTGGCGTCGATCCTGGGCTAGGCAGAGGCCTGTACGTATGTATAGCAATATACCCAAAAGCTATCGTCTAATGGGTAGCTCATTGCGAGCGACCGTTAACCCAAGTACTCGTCGTTCCTTGGTGATATCAGTGTGTCCTTTCCGTAGTCATACTCTTCTCTAAAGCTTCTTTATACTCATTATCGACACCACTGACAACTGCCTGTCTGACTCTATATAACGCCCTTAAAGGATCGAGCACTACCTGTGTCTGCACATAATTACTCTCATCCTGTACGCGATGCACTCGTCCACTAGGAAACCTTACACGACTAATCGCGCCATCTATAAGGTGTACCTGCAACCGATGCAACTGCGGCGCAACAGCCAGCAGATCAACCAGCTCCCGTACTTTACTCTTTATACCAGCCGGCAAGCCTCTGCCCCCACAGTTATACTTGATCATCCCCGTATAATCATCCACAGACTCAACATTAACAATATAATTCCTAATCCGCAACAGATTCCTCTGCGAAAAGTGATCCAAGAACCGATACGTCCGGTTCGGCGTAAGATTATTCGCCGTGCGCCATCGGTACCGGAAGTTGATCGCGTCAAACGTCACGTCAATCACAAAGGTATTGTCTCCGTATAGCATGTCCGCAGCTTCTTCATGGACTTGTTGTGACACGGCGAGGAGACTCGTGTGCCCGCGCCGCCAGACTATGTCGTTGCCTGTCTCGCGCTCTGTGCGTGGTAGTGTGCGTTGCATGCGCCAGCCCCCGTCGCCGTTTTTCTGCCGCACAAAGGTCAGATTGTATTCGGACTTTGGGGGTGGGTCGGGAGGGTGCTGGAAACGCACTTCGAACGTGGTGGTGTGGGGGAGGACGTGGCTGTAGATTAGGCGGCGGAGCTCGATTGGGAGGCAGAGGAGCGGGGAGAGTTGGGACGGTGCGGTATTCGTGGAGAAATGCATTGTGCGCTCGTTATCTCGTGGCATTGGACATGCAATTGCAGTTGTGAAGCTATACGCATCTTCGTGTGGCATGCTTCGTGCTGCTCATTGACGCCATCGGTGCTCTCCCGTCTCCACGCCGATTGGCCTCCACAATCCGGGTTAGCCCCCTTGGCGGCATCCATCACGTCCACGGTCGTCACGACTGATGACTCCTTCCCTCTCCCCAACCACTAACGATGACAGTCCATTCCAAAGACAGCTCGCCAGAGCTTGCATTGAGTTGCACCATGCCTTTCCAGAATGTCGTCGCGATTTCTACCTATAGCCCCAACGGAGGGGTCCTATTTGTTTGAACCACGCGATACGTGTCGGTGTAGAGGCGAGATAGCTGCGCACCGATTAGATCGATAGATCAAGATACGAGACTGAGGTCGACGGATAGTGAAGAGAGGAAGAAATTGATTCGAATTCCGCATCACTATCACGAAAGATAACTCAGCACCTAACGTGGGCTGGAGATACACGTAAACTTGAAAGATAATAAGTGAGTTACATTAATACCATAGTGCCGTATTTCTTTTACCATATGATTCATTGCTGACTGTAATTCAGCCACCAAATCGCTCCCACACCCTACAACCACCTTCAAGATGTTGTTCGAAGATCTCGCAACGGAGCTTGTTGTGCAGGTATTCCTATCATGCCGTTCAGTCAACGACGTGACAGCTCTATCTGCCACCTGTCGTCGTTTCCGCAACATCTATTCCTCCTCCCAAAAACTACCTATACTCGAAAAGGCTGCCGAAACCCAGTTCGGTCCGCTAGAAGACCTAACTCAGCTCCTCACCCACAACAAAAGCCAACCTGCGCACATCGTCCGCTCTGTTCAGTTCTCTCTCGCTCTGCTCAAGCAGATTGTGCAGCATGGGCGCACAGCCGAGAAATGGTGCGACATCTATCCATTCAAGAAGTGGAAGCACAACTTCGAAAGCCGGCGTCTCCTCACAACGGACGAGCGCTATCTTGTGAGACGAGCCATATATAGGATCTGGCTGTACTCCCGCGCCTTCCACAACAGCGATCACCCACGCGAAGCCCGCGCGTCCCGCCTCGTCCTGCTCAAGCGCGCAGCCCTCCTACACAACTGGAGTACCTGGGAACTCGCCGAGATCGCCGACGTACACAGCGTGATACGCGAAGTCGTCCAAAGCAACATCTGCCCCTCCAACGGCACCATCGCCCGAAAGTTCAAAAAGCGACACCCGGGCAACGAGCACTCCCTCCTCTTCAACATCCACCTCAACTACCCACCCACCGCGCCCCAAGCCTACAACCCCTTCACGCCCAACCCCCTCTCCACCCACTTCAACAACATACCGACCTACACCTCCCGCTACGCCGCGTCCAAATACTCGCTTCACCCCTCCCACGAAGTTGGCGCTGAAGGCTGGGGCGACGATATCCCACACTACTACGTCATCGAAGACTATATGAAGCTGGATCCTGCTCAGATACTTTACTTGAAGGAACATGCGCCGCTCAAGGGCATGGTGGAGGGCTACGTGCGCAGCTTGTGTCCAGAGTATGATTGGTTTACGAATAATGGGGAGACGTGGGTTGCGACGTTGGAGTTTGTGCTTGGGGAGAGGGGGGAGGATGTGGGGGATTTTATGGGGGCTATTGCGGAGGGGGAGGCGGGTGTTGCTGTTTGCGAGGTTTGATGCTGCGGGTTGACGGGCATGGTTGGTGGATATATTGCATTGGTCGAGGGAGTTGTCATATCAGTACTACATTGCAAGGCTTCCGTTCTACCGCCCATCGATGTGGAATAGAATGCTGTCGTTATCCAAAGTAGTCTGATCGCGTCTTCCTGAAATGCCTCAGTCTAAACAGTAACGGGCTTATCGCTTCATCATCTAATGCGCGAACTGATCGTCCACAAAGTCTTCCTCTTGTCCATCATAGTCCTCCAGTTCGTCATCAATGTCGTCCTTCTTTGCCTTACTTGATTTGTTGTGTTTCCTTTCCCTCACAATCTTCGCTCGTCTCAAGCTACTCGCTGTGCCTGACTCCATGTCCTCTTCGATGTCAGCTGTCAGTGCTCTGCCGGACTTTGTTTGTTCCCTCTCTTTTGTGCCCCTCCCGTCTCTCCAGCTGCCAGCTTGGCTCGTGTTAGGAGATCTTGCTGTAGGATGTAGTGCAGGCCCCACTCCCGAAGGCAAGGATGTCATATCCGCTTTATGAACCTCAGAAGATGTGGCTTTTGGTTGGTAGCACTGTATACCTCCCTCCTCAGGTCGCAGTTCACTTCCACCCTGCTTCTTCCTGAGTCCCCTTGTTTTCTCCGCCCATGCTCTGATCTCACGGCGTTTAAGGACACGGGGTAGGAAGATACTATCCCCTCTGATATCAAAAGCTTCGCCTTCTTCCTCTAGAACTCGTGCATCTACGAGACGCTGATGTATGCGTGTCCAGTACGCGCCGGGCTTTTCGGGGGTTTCGTGCGGAGTTCTCTCTATTGACGCATTGCTTTGGATCTCAGCGTCCGTTACTGCGGATTCAGAAGCATCTCGTTGGCTTGGACTTGCTAGAAAGTCATCGGCCAACACATGTGCTGATCCTGGCAAGGGGGGACTTTGCGGTGAGGTATCATGGACGACCAGATCTTCAAATTTCGTCAAAGTTAGTTTAGGAACCTGGGAGTCCTTCTCTTGAAGCTCTTTCGTCCGCCTGACCCATTCTTCAACTTCCTCGGGTCCGACCTTGCGTTCTATATAATAGACGCCAGGTTCCTTTTCGGGTCTAAATGCTGCTTCGATAAGGATGCGCTCGTCAACAAGGCTCGTATCGATCTGTGTCCGAGGTAGAGGTGTGTGATTCCAGGGTCGGTTGTCATAGCTGAAGAACTCAGAGAAATAGATCTGTCCGCTAGCAATTGCAGCGTCCATGATTGAAGACCCTGAACCAGTTGACTGAATATGGGTCGTCGGAGTGTCATCATCATGTACAGCGCTCTCCACGCTTGCATCTTCCCGTTTCGGAGCTTGAAGTTCACTTTCGGATGAAGATGGACTGTCCATGCAATCATTGCAATGAGCGCACAGCTCATCCTTTTTATCGACAAAGCTGTAGTCTGAAGGATGACTTTCCTTTTGCCAATTCGGGCATGGATATCTGTTGTAGCCACGATTAGGATGCGTGAAGATATTTGAATCTGCGACGGTAGAATGGGGCGTGAGATCAGTGCGAGGTGACCGCGGGCTGACGCGGACAAGCTCCGGTGAAATCGCGGTCCAGGTAGACTCATTCTCAGTATTCTCCACCAACCCATCAGATCCCAATTGCTCAAGTACCGGTTGAAGCTCAGTAACCGGAGTATCGAACGTAGTCGCGAGATCCAAGATGTTCTCGCTCAATCCAGGCAAACTTCTCAAGTACGACAAAGCACGATCAGCTAGATTGTTCGATACATCCTCATCCTGGCTGGAATCTTTCTCTGGCTGAGAACCAGGATAGCCGCGTTCTTCAGCGATGGTGTTGCTCTCCTCCAACGGAGGCTGCTTTTTGGGCTTGAGGGAGTCTATAACGAGTTGTTGAGAGATGGTAGAGGTACCAACATGAGGTAATGATCCTGGATCTTGAGCAACCTCTTGTCCTGCTTCTGTTGATTCCGCCTGTAAATCGAGTACTCTTGTTCTGCCCAAGTCGGTCAAACCCCACATCATTCCGCCAGCCTGACTAGAGATGAGCCCAACGGCTGCTAGACCCTTGAGCGCAGGCCATAGTTCATCAGTGGTAGTCTGAAGCCCACCGATTATGGTACTGAATGATCGCCAGCCGCCTACACGATCGATGCAGAGCAAGATTCGATCAGCTAGATCACCTTTCGGCTTTTCTGGTCGTTCCCCTTGACTGAGTTCAGAATTCCAAGATGTCGGCTCTGAAATTACCCATGTCTCGCCATCCACAGTGTTGTGAACCTTTCCTTCTGCGGCGAGCCTTTGCAACGTATGAGCGATGATCCTAGGATGGTAGATCTCGAAGGCAGCAGTGATCTCCTTGAACTTTTGACCTAAGTACGAGCCAGGTCGTGTCTTGAAATCATCGTTGAGGTAAGCAAGGACACGTGCGTCTAGATCAGACTTCGCTGACTCTGGATACATCTCCGCTGATGCGCCATCCGGGTCGGATGTGGTTTCTGCTGGCGAGTGAAATGGTGGAACGGTTTCTTCTCCAATACGACTTTCGTCATCGATTCGATATCCAATGTCGCCCAATCTTTGGTTCGCTTCAAAAGAAGACTCTGCATTGGCAGTTTTCTTGAAATCTTCGGATCGTGTAATGGACGGAGTTGTCGGTACCGGAGTGTCTGCTTCTTCGCTCTCAGTTGGTTCTGGATCCTCTTGCGCCCGGCTGTTACGGCTGACAGCCCATTGAATGACACTGTATACTGCATTTGCGTCAGACTCACTATCGCTGTGAATCAGCCACATATTTGACTTCGACGCAGTTCCTTTTCTTTTCCGCTCTTCACTTGCTTCCACATATAACATCGCAAGGTTTGCGTAATCCACGTCTTCTGTGTGACCGCGTTGCAGCTTCAAGATAGATGCGTCTAAGAGATCTATCATCTCATATCTGCTCCCGTCTACGTATACGTCTATACTGCTCTTGTAGACGTACAGAGTTGAGTTCGTCCAGCGCTGGGATGTGTGCGGGATGGAAATCCCAGCTTGTATGACAGTAGGTGACTCTGTAGCTGATGCGGTACCATGCGCATCTTCAGCTTCCGAAAGATATGCCACGTCGTCGTTCTCCAAAGTATAATCATCGAGTTTCGCGGGATCGGACTTCTCGACTTCTTCGACCTCGTTCAGTGTTGCTTTCTTCTGCTCTTGGCTATTGCGCTTGACGGCTTGATGAAGGACATCGAACAATGCGTCTGAATCAGAGTCCCCATCACCACAAAAGGACCATGTTTCCCTCGACTCAAAGTCTTTGCCCTCTCTACTCACATGTAAGGATACCATGTTTGGAAAGTTCAAGCCCATTCCGTTACTGCCGCGGACTAATGTCAGGGTAGCATCTGTAAGGTCTATTTTCTCAAATGGCTTCTCTGGACGCTGCTCTTTTCCAAATTCCACGATGATGTTGCTCTTGTAGACATATATAGTAGAATTCAACCAGGCTTCGGGAGTGGGTGAATCGACAACCTTGACAAGGATCACAGCACGTGGCCCCGCATCTGGTGCGACGACATTCGTATCTTCGGCCTCCGAGTAGTGTGTCGCCTTGTCATCCGTCTGAACTTGATTGTCGAGCTCTCCGGCATTGGGCTTGTTGACATGAGCAACTGGATCTTCAAGGACCTCCTGTCCACTTTCCGCGGCAATTGTTGACTCCACGATCCTTGCCCTTCCAATCTCAGCTGACACATTCTTCTCCCGCTCCTGGCGACTACGATTGAGGGCTCGCTTGAAAAGTTCAAAAAGCGCGATTGAATCAGCGGCGTCGTTACTACGAAACTGCCATCTTGCTTGCAGTTCTGATCTTCGCTCTGCTGTCCATAAAGATACTGCCGTGGCATCGTTGCGGGTCAGTTCTGCGCTAGTATCCGTGAGATCGATTGAGGCATACGGCGTATGTCCAGCAGATTCTTCATATGGATCAGGATCATAATCCCCAGCGTACATCTCGATCTTACTCCTGAAGACTCGAACCCATGAGTAGAACCAATCTCCAGTATCGGTGTGTGGGGACAAGACTTCCACTCGGACTACCGCGGGTTGCTCTGTAGCCTGTGCAATATTTTCCGGGTCGTTTGGTACTGAAGGGTGCTCCGAGACAGGCATATCAGGGTCCGCCGTGTCAGGCTTTTCGACTTGAGCAGATGTATTCTCAAACACATAGCTTCCGCCTTTCGCAATGGTGGAGAGTAACAGCATGGAGCTAGGCAATTGCTCCACTGGTATCTCCAGCTGTTCACCATTACTGTACACGAGTGCATCTTCAGACATCTCCGTTCGCTGCCAGACTGCGTCGGCGAAATGCCAGCCGGGCTCACAGAGTTTGTGGGTTCTCTCATAAAGGCCGTCTTCGCACACCTTGCAAGTTCCGACATGTAGTTCGAAGTCCATCAAAGTCTTGGCTTCGTCATCGTTCCAGGCCCGCGACTTTACTGGTTGCTTGCCAAACCGGACACTACGAGAGGTCTCTTCTCCAGAGATAGATGGGGACGGCTGATCCATAGTGGCCGGTAATGACGAAGAGATTTCTCTAGCCTCAGTAAGGTGTCTCGACATGTTAAGAGGTGAAGTATTGCGCTTTGTTGACGGGAAGTAGACCGGCAAAAGGCTCTTGTAGATGAACTCGTCATTTGAAGAGAAGACAACGAATATGATCTTATCAAGCCCATTACCCGGCTCAGCAGATTCCAGAAAGCGTTTCACTTCCTCCATCGCCAAAGACGCGCAGTCGCGCCGCGGGTAGTTCCGCATGCCAGTTCCCAGACTCGGTATGGCAATGGAAGTCGCCCTCATGAGTACGGCATCATGCAGAATTGCCCGGTAGATGTTCCTCAATATGTTCTTGGTATCGCTCCTGAATACTCCAGGGGGAACGACATGTAGGATGTGTTTGGCTGGGAGAAGGTATCCAGCAGTTGCTTTGACGTCGCCCTCTTCGCATTTCCCGAAAGACATAACTTCTGAGCGCAGTTGATCCCCTCCTTTCTTGAAGATGCTGCGATCTAGAGTACCCATGCCGGAGAAGCTTGGGTCAGTCGAATTCACCACTATGTCGACTTCCAGTCTTGTGATATCCTCTCTCAGTAGGCAAACAGTGTGGTTGAACAGCGTGGATGGTTTTGCCATAGTGGGCTTCGGCTCCAGTTGGCCCAGTATGTAGAGCCTCGCCACGGGGGGTATTTGGTGAATTTGGACAAGTCCGCGAATTTTGGGAGTAGGACGTTCAGCCTCACGCACGTACAGCACCTCATCCAGATGATCGCGGATACCTTCGGAATCTTGGCCCTTCTGCTTGACACCATAGGTCTCTAGAATCTGACGCGCTCTTCCCATCGCATCTGTTTCTACTTTGCCAAGTATCAGGACTTCTTCCAAGCTGTTGGCGAATATCCAGCTGTAGTCAAAGACACTCGTAAGCTCGAATCCATGCTTGGCTCGTATATCGGTGTTGGCTTCAGTCCAGATAGACTGCGTATGTCCAGTAGGCCCCTGTTTCCGTGCTCGCTCGGCCATATCCATAATGTCAGCACATGCCGTCAGAATGACAGAGCACAGTAAGTTGAGGTCGCCCAGACTCCGCTTGAGCTCTTTTGATCCTAAGAGGTATTTGCGGATCGAACTCAGCGTAGAGTCAATTCTACGCATGTCATGAGCACACACTGTACTTTGCGTGCCAAAGTCGTAGGTAACGGTGACTGCAGTCAATGCATTTTGAAGTTTTGTACGTGCCTCTAGTACCTGAGCTGCCAGCGCAGCACGATTCGCGGACCAGTCTGAAGTTCTGGCTCTGTCCAGGTCTCCATGCGTAGGTGGGAAGAACACAGGCAAGAAGTCGGTATACGCCTTCTCATCGATTGCTGCTCGCACACAGAAGATGATCCGTTCAGGTCGATGTCTAGGATGTGAATCCAAGTATTCCCTTATCTCTTGCAGCGCTATACGTGCAGCGACACGTGCAGGGAACATGCAACCTCCAGTACCCAGGCAAGGAAAGGCGATTGTTTTGAAATCGTAGTTAGCCGCCAACCTCATGGCACTTCGATAGCACTCGGAAAGAACGTTGAACTGGCCAACACCTTTGCGGCCTGTATATCCTGGTGCAGCTGCATGAATTACCCACGAGCTCGGAAGATTATGTCCGTGTGTGAGTTCGACTTGGCCGACCTTGACCTTGGGTTTTGATTTCGCCTCTTCCCTGAGAGCTGAGCCACCGGCTTTATAGATAGCGTGGTGCAGGGAATCTGGATCGGGGTTGGCTTGGAAGTTAGCTGAAGCATTGTTGACTATAGCATCCACTCTTAATCTCGTTAGGTCGTAATGGCAGAACGAGATCATTTGATTGTAAGCATCGTTTGGCGCAAAGCTCTGATCGCGCTGTAACAGCCGCCGGGACTGGTAAAGCGAGCGTAACGTCGGGATCTCGGCAGTCGTGATGATTGCTGGTTTGCTGGATCCTTCGTCCTCTTCGTCATACGTTTCAGATCCGGTTGTAAGGATATCAGCTTCTTCAGTGGTCTGCGTATCCGCAGTAGGCTGGCGGCTGAACGCGTTCTTTTCTACAGTGAAATCATCGTCAGTATTATGGCCCTACAGCAAGCTTTTAAGGCTCTCAGCTAGACGTCAACTTACTGTCCGTACCAGTGAATCTGGTAAAGTTCCACTTGCTCTTGTTCTTTTTACTCTGGAATTCGACATTGGGGAAGCGCTCAGTATCAAAGAGCGCTGTTGCTTCTTCACCAAGCAGATCATTCGCAAACGTGATCAGGCCAGTCCATGAGCCGTAGCCTCGATAAAATCGAACTGATAGAACTCCTGGTAACGATGAGACGTGTTGTCTGAAAGCCTCCCGCTCTTCTAGATGTTTCTGGTGCTCAGGCAATATGTTCTCGTCAAACTGTTCATTGACGGGTTGCTCATCTTCCGAATCCTCAATATCGTCCACTTGATTTGAGATCCTCGCCACCCGGTTGTTGCTCTCGTCGGGAAGTTGCTGCAGTGTCTCTGCTGACAACAGGCTTCGGCTGGAATCGGCTACCTGGAGTGACTGCATTTGCGGGTTTTCTTTCAGCCGCTTGATACGCATCTGGAGTGGAGAAATTTGATAGTCCTTGCCAAAGGCTTTCCGGAAGCGCGCTGCGATATCCTCCCATGACAAGTGCTCTTCGTCCCTGAGCTGTAGTAGTAGGCGGTCTTCCTCATTGAGCTCTGCCTCAACAGACTGCTCAGCCTCCAGGTCTCTGTTAAGAGCGACCACCTCATTTCTTGAACCGGTACTTATCGACTCGGGTAAGGATTGAGAGTTAGAGCTTCCACGGCTTGCAACGCTACTTGCGCCATCTTCGTCGTCTTCCCTCCCATGAGGAAGAGCGAAAGTAGCAAGGCGCTCCAAATGATTGGCAATGTGGCTCTGCAAATCGCCCAAGCCTTCAGTAGCCGTGGGCGCGAAGCATATCGGGCACTTATCCCGCGAGTCCACAGCGATTGTCTCTCCAATCTTGGCCATGATAGCTATCTGATCGTCGGGGAAGCTGCCAATATGTTCCTGCCGAAGGTGATTCTCAAGACCAGCTTGGGTATTGTACAAGGCATTCACGTGTTCGGGGCAACGCCATAGTTTACGATGAGTCGCTTCGTGTTCCGCCCACTCCCGGCGACTACGGAAGAGCTGTTCGGAACTTTCGCAGTCTCGGTGTGTGCATATGTACGGCTGGAGGTCTTGTAGCAGATGTGTCTTCCAAGCTCGTCCTTTGCCGTATCGTGCAGGGCAGACGATCCAACAGTACGGGCACTCAAAGTCTTTGTCGCAAGTGGCAGCCTTTGGAGGGGGTGGGAGATCGATACCTTTTCCGTCCAAGTCCTTTACGGTGACCGCGTAGCTCGTCACGGATTTGGTGTCCACTATATCGTCTAGAGACTGGTGATGGTGCGTCGCCTCTGTGCCAGATAGCAAGGTTTTCCCAGTCTTTTGACTCGGTGTCGGTTTTGGGGTATTGATCGTTGGCAATGGCTAAGACTGAAGTTAGATCACGTTTGAAACGATAGGTTAGGAGATAGCAGATGGAATAGTACGTACTGGGTGAGCTTCAAGAGTGTCATGACGTATCGGGGTCGGCGCTTCATTCAATGTAGGTTTGCTAGCAGCTGCTATGTCTTCGGTATCTGCGGAGGCGCCCAACTTATCACGATCTATCACAGTCAGACTGCACAAGATACAATAGTATTACTTGTCGAACTTACGACGCTTCCAATACTTGAAATGCCGCCTGCGCAATGTGATAGAGGAGCTCAACCGCTCAGTCAAGAAGTGCTGATCTTCTTCATTCTGCGTAGGATATGTCTTCCGTAACTGCAAGAGTAACTCTCGAACATGCTTTCGATCCAGTTCAGCGTACACACCGAGGATATCTACACCGGTTTCTGGATCTGTTGGCGTATACGCAGACGCTTTGAGTGATCTTGAGCGTACGGTAGGTGTTCTGATGCGGACGCTGAGCTTGTAAAGGTTGTCGATGATATCAACGATCTCTTCATATCTCATCTTCAGCTCGCTCCTGGGCTCATCGCTGTCGGAATCGTCTTCTTGCTCTTCACTTGAGGAGCCATGGTCGCTGTCGTCATCAGACCCCTCCTCCGATGGCGTTTGCTGTTCGTAAGGTAGGCGCGCCTCGGACACGATAGCATATGTTTCGTTGAGGTTTTGCTCAAGCTCATTGAGTAGTCTGAGGGCGCTGCTGAATAAGACTGGAGAACCGCGCAGTCTGTAGTCGAGCGAGCTGTGGCCTTTCTGCAATGCTCCCAAATTGCCAGCCCAAACTCTGAATCTTCCAACCTCATCATCGAGTGTTTCGCTTTCAATCCATTGCGACCACTTTCCGTCGCTTGCATCAAGAGCTTCGGTGAGGATCTGGAAAGCGCGTACATTGGAGGCTGTTGCAAGCCTAAGAGTCGACATTATGGACGCTCGGCATGTCGGACAAGGGCGCAAGCGAGGGGAGGCTTGGAGTGCGGCGGCGATCGCACGACCCCAACGCTGGAGTGGTTGTTGATGCGCTGAGCTACTGGTAGCCCAAACCAAATGAGTCGTTGATGCCGACGAAAGGACGGCAGGCAGATGCTATTATTGCTATAAGTCGACTGCAATGCGATGGTAGATGGTAGGCGGTTAGTCAGCACTTGTGTTGTCAGCGTGCAGCCTGAAGGCTGCGATGCTAGGTTCTTTGCAGGATAGTGGGGGCGCAGTTCAGGCGGCCTCGCGGGCAGTGTCACCTTTCGCTATCGTAAACTCTTGCTGCTCGCGAAACGAGACACTCGTGTCTCTTCTGCCTTATCGCTCGCGACGCAGTCATTATGCTTTAGCTGGGAGTTGTGTACTTCGCGTGATTGCCTGACAGCCCTGAACCCCGCCCAGCCCTCCCGAGGTCGCTCCTTCTGTCGCCCACCAATGACACGCGACATCAACATTTCTTCGTACCCAGGACAATTGCTATCATGAGCGGCATTGAGGTCGCCGGTCTTGTACTTGGCGCTCTACCGCTAATTATACAAGGTAATCTGCGTCCTTGCAGCGGTCAATGAGTAAACATGGACTAACGGTGTGCTAGCAATAACGTCCTACAAGGAAGGACTCGATCCGATCAAGGGCTTTTTGAAATGGGACAAGGAACTGCCCAAACTCATCAGAAAGCTAGGGGCCCAGCATGATCAGTTCAACCAAACGATCCAGATTCTGTTCGGATCCATCACGACGGACGCAGAATGGCTGAAGATGACAACTGATCCTAGGGCTTCACTGGAGCTATGGAAGAGCAAGGAAACGGCGCTTCAGGAGAAGCTTCAAAACACGTACAAATCCTACCAGAATACCATGGCGGAGATAGAAAGGATCATGACCAAGATCGCAAGCAAACTGGATCTGGACAAAGCGGCTGAGCTTACACGGAACGATCTCGAGGCAATCCTCGCCGCACATCCCAAGAAAGCTGACGACACATTCGAATTCGGCAAGCGCGTTAAATTCGCCATGAACAAGAAGAGCGTCAAAGGACTTCTCGATGAACTCGACGAATGCAATCGACAACTAGAAAGATTCACGGAAAAGAGCGAGAAGATAGAGACATTTCACAAAGCCACAAAGCCGTCGTATGCCACGCGCTTGCAGAAGCTACAACGATACGCTAAAATTTTACACGAGTCGCTCAACTTGTGCTGGTCGTGTGCCTGCAAGTCTTCCCATACGGCGAGTCTGCAGCTTGAGCCGCGAGAGAGCATATTTGCATCACGATATCACAAGACGTACAGTTCGTCGTCGAAAACATGTTTCAACGTTTCCTTCTCAACTGTCTCATCGGATAGCCACGGATCGTCCTGGTTGTTCCAAGCTGCTGAGATTCATGTGGACGAGGAGGAGGAGGAGGAGGAAGGTTATCTCACACCGATGCCCTCCCCAAAACCGAGGGTAACAAAAAGTGTCAGCTTCGGTTCGCTTCCTCCGTATGCAGTTCTGGATCCCGCAACAAGTTCCTTGCCTTCTTACGAAGAAGTCAACGACTTATGTGCATCGATCCAGCAACTACACAAGACGTCTTCGACTATTGGCTTCTCTCTGAACACCAAGAGCAAATTGCGAGGCGCCTACTCAGTTGACAGCGCAGACGCATACATACCCAGCACAGAATTGATATCGCTCGAAACCCTCCTGGAGCACCCTCCTATTATCAACGGAAGGAAGTCTAAGCTAAGCAAGAAGGAAAGGTATAGCTTAGCTTTGACCCTAGCGTCCAGCATACTCTACCTGAACTCGACTCCATGGATCGCCAGTAAGTGGACTGCGCGAGACATCTTCTTCCATCGGACATCGGATCCCAATCGTCCAATCGATGTCACACGCCCATATCTCGCTCCAAGCCTTTTCGATATTCCAAAAGACGGAGAGAAGAAACCGAAGCCAGTGACCTTTGAGAACAACATACTACTGGCCCTGGCTGTAGCACTACTTGAACTTTACTTCGGCACCACTGCCGACAAATACCGGGAATCTGAGATTGAAGACGAAGTCGCCAACGCACCAGTGCCAGAGCAGTGGAAATTGCTTACATTAGTGCACACTTGGTCACGCAATGAGGCTGAGGAAATGTCTGCTGCGTTCCAGAGTGCTATCGGGTATTGCAGCAGTCCTATGGCTAGCTTACAGAACGCCGACTGCCTCCAAGCTGCAGTTGAGAATATTGTGCTACCGCTGCAGGAAGAGCTAAATCAGTTTTTGGGAAAGACATTGGGTTAGCGCGGCGCTCTAGCTATACGAGCAGAGTGGTTTCCACACAGCATCAACATCAAGGATCTTGTCCATGATGCTGGCACCCATCCAAATATCAGCATAACGCATCTCAAAAATTGAGCAAAGCGATATGGAAAGGCACCAGAAGCAGACGGAGCCACGTCTTCCAACTACATCCCGGGTCGGGACGAAGGCCGCTTACCCAACGCGCATCAGCTCGTATCCGACCCACGCGGAAGGCAATACGACTCTGGGGTAGATCAGGCCAACTAGTGCGGCAAATTCCCGAAGCCAAAATGAACGTCGCAGGTCGAGCGGCGAGGTCAGAGGTTGTCAGGGAGGAAGAACAATGTATCCACAATAGCCACATCGGTTACCATGCGATGTGGCGAGAGTGCACGTGGCCTAAAAATAGGAGTACCAGCAAACAGCCTCACAAGACCCCCGCACCCCGCTGCTCCCCACGGCGAATATCGCACAAACGCATGTTCCCGGTTGCGCGGCAAGAATGTGATTCGAAGGGGTGTAATACGAAGCTTTATTAGTGGAGGAGATGGTACTTGGCGGGGTACAAAGTTCAAGGACGGGTTCTGGTAGTACATGACGGATGCTAAGGCTGCGACACAATTAGGGCTACATATCACACTGTAGCGGAAGTCGCCGGCATGTCAATCTGAAACGCTATCCAAGGCTACACTTGATCACTCGCATTCGCTCGACACAGTGCATGGCCGTCAATCTTACATTTGCAATAAGTGCTTGCCGATTATCGGTATACGTCATGAACTCTGCTGACCGCATCATGGACCGACATTAGCTGAACCCTTTGGGAGATTATGGCGGAAATTGGAGATCTTAGCCGGGGAAGCGCATTATCGCAGTCGCAGGATTCGGTAGCTGGTGATTGAAGACGGAATAGTAAGGCGCGCATCAAGCCACGCCGGTCAGCCTTATCTACAGCTTTGGAACTTGCTAGAAATTGCTTGTTGTACGTGGCCGAAGCGTTGGACCGAGCTGGCGCGTTTGAGCAGAGCTGCCGCAGAAGCGTCGGACGTGGACTTGTTTTTCCCAAGACACGGCGAGAGCATAAAAGTGGCACATTTCGTTTTACACCGCCTGAACGACGCCAGAGATGCACCTGCACCTCCTAACGGGGAAGGGAGCGATAACAAGCTAAGCAAGCGAAGCCACCCGGCAAAGCCTCTAGTTGGCGCGCACGACGCCGCCCAAGTCTGAAACAGGCCCACGGTTGGACGAACGGCGCCGACGTGAGGCGGCGAAAATGGGCCGCATGGGGGTTAGGGGAGGGAGTGAATTGGCCACGGCAAAGCGCGAGGTATGCTGTTGGTTGTGTAAAAGGAAGTGATGGTAATGCTAGGTGGCAACGGCGACACCTGGGGGTGTCGAGGCTCTATTAATAACTTAATGACCGCGAAGCCGGGGGTAATTCAAGCTGGCTCCGAAGTGACGGAGAGGGGGAGGTGAGGAGAGGAGGGCGCGGCGGGCGTTGAGTGGTTGCAGGGCTTTGTTATGCAGGCGACGAACCATAACAACAACACAACCACTGCCCTCACGACGGGCGGCCGGAGCACCACAACAGCCTCTTGCAGCTATTCACCGTGACGTTGTTTGGCGTCGTGCTCGACTACCTGTCCTGAAGCAGCGGGCCAGCATTGCGCACTCAACGCTCGTCAATCTGTCCAGGGCCATCCCGGTCGTGCTTTGTCTTGGCGTGTCGGCACCCCTTAACGTCACCTGCAATCCGTTTTCTCGATTCCAATTCAAGCTCCTGCCAACGCCGACCCAGCTACTTCACTCACGCCGCGCTCTCTGGCCGCCCGACACTCGCTGAGACCCGGAACACTTTCCAGCCCGACAGCGCAGAGCGCACCCTCACGCTCTTTTCGCTGTTCCGCTCTCCCTGGCTTCTTACCACCATGGCACAACAGTACGAGCCCCCGGACTTGCGCCGCTCCCCCGCGCGGCACATGGCTAACAGCAGCGCAGAATAACCGCGTCCTTGAAGGACTTCTGGCACACCATGACCTCGTACGACCGTCACGCCTCGCACGACTCGCCCTACCGGACGGGCCGTCACATCCCCATCCCCCAGAGCCGCCACGCCGCCCTCACCTCCATCACGGCCAGCGGCGCCGAGTCCCGCACCGACCTGCACTCGCCCTACCAGCACGACGAGCTCGCGACGAGCAATGGCTTCATCGGCTCCCCCAAGGGCCCCATGTCTCCCAGCTCCCCCTACTCGCCCGGCATGCGCGGCTCGCTCAGCCGCCAGGCCACCATGGACTCGGACACGTTTGACAAGGGCGCCAATGGCCAGATCCAGATGCAGGACTTCAACGAGGGCCTGCCCCCGCCACCCCCCGTCAGCCACTCGTGGCGGCGCATCGACCGCTGGGTCGAGGACCACTATCAAGAGCTCTTCGACAACATGTGCGAGGGCTGCACATCCAACGACGTCAACGAGCTGGAGCACGAGCTCGATGCGACGCTGCCCATGGACATTCGCGAGTCGCTGCAGGTCCACGACGGACAGGAGCGTGGCGGTCTCCCGACCGGTGTCATCTTCGGTCTCATGTTGCTCGACTGTGAGGAGATTGTCATGGAGTGGAAGAACTGGCGGAAGGTCGCCGAGGAGTACCTCACCACAAAGGTCGACTACCGCACACCGCAGATCCCAGTAAAGGCTTTTGCTGGCTCATCTACCGCTCCCCCCGTTGCCACAGTCCAGAGCACAGGCAACCCGCTCTGGCGACAGGACCTCCTCGCGCGCCAGGACTCACAGCCTTCGGGCGCCGTACAAAAGGCATATGCCCACCCCGCATGGATCCCTCTGGCTCGCGACTGGGGAGGCAACTACCTCGCCGTTGATCTTGCTCCAGGTCCCAACGGCCAATGGGGCCAGATCATCATTTTCGGCCGCGACTACGACTGCAAATACGTTGTCGCACGCTCGTGGGGCGCTCTGTTGGCTATGGTAGCAGATGACTTTGCCTCGAAGGACGTGTCCATGGACGAGGAGACGGGCGAGCTGAAGCTGCTAGCTTTCAAGCGCCAGAATGTAGAGCCGCCTTACCTAGAAGTCCTCCGCTGGCGGTGTGACCAGAAGCACGGCCGCCGACCGCCCAAGAGACGCCCAAACAGCGGTCTGCGCGTCAACCCCAATGCGCCGGGTATGGTCGTCCCCAGTAGCACTGCGAGCAGCCCCTACCACAGCCCTGTAATGGGCCCCGAAGACCGCGGTCGAAGCCCCCACCGCCTATCCAAACCGCCCAAAGGCGTCAGCCCACGAGGCAAGCTCTCCAGCCCGCTAGCCCGGGTCGCAGAAGAGAACCCGGCACCCATCCGCGTGCACACCAACCTCGACTCCAAGACCGCGACTCCCCAGGAGAACCTCATCTCCATGGACACCCCGCGACCGAGCGACGAGTTCCCTGCTGCGCGCCTGCCCACACCGCGTGACAGCCTCAGCAGCGACAAGGAGAACAAGGAGGTTAAAGATGACAAGGAGAACAAGGACACGAAACCAGCCGCCGTCCCCGCAGCCGCTCCCGCGCGCTCGTCGCTGAAGAGCCCCGTCACGGCAACCGAGGCGGAAGACCTCAAGACCGTCGAGATATAGGAATCGAGGCATAATCATTTGCCCTTCTACCACCATCACAATGACAACGCTTCCCACCATTGATGAATCTACTACTTCTTTTAGAAAGAGAGCGAGCGAGAAAGAAAGAAACGGCTGGATACCTAAGGAGCAGAACCAATATACACGTTTATGGAGTAGCAACGGCGTAGGAATCTTTGTTGGGCGGCTGGGAAGGGGTGCAGCATGGAACATTAATCATTCAGGCAGCCTTTCAAGAAGATGACTTTTTTTTTCAACTTCGTCCAGGTTGTGTAAAGGTTCAAGGTGGTTTATGTGTGCACAAGTCATGCAGGCGTATTCATCAGCATTTTCCCATTTCCCATCCTTCTTCGTGTCCTGACAAGTCAAAGGCGCGGTTTTCTGTTCTTTGGCCCGCGATTGATTGATTAACAACAATGCAAATTTCTTCAACTTCTTCTTCTACTTGCTTTCAAATGTACAACTTCAGTGGATGCTACTTAGTACGCGCACGATATGGATATGTAACAACAACAATGTCATCCGATTTCTTCTATACGCAACAAACACCATCATTGACTACTGCTATCTACGCGTCGTTGCATCGGCGTTTCTATAACAACTCGCTGCATGAGGTTTCTGTAACAACGACGACATGCATCTGTTTACCATGTTTTCTTCTGCCCACACCGAGGTACCTTTCGATGCTTCTTTCGGTGTTTTACGCTTGGCCCCCGCTGCCCGCTTCTTTCGAACTCGACTAGCAGGTGGAAACCCACTTGGTGGGTATTTGCTTCTTCCCGTCTGCACCATCACTTGGCTACCCACATAGCACGCATTTGCTTCTTCCCGCGCCCCCTCTCTCGGCTTCGACCTTCCAGGAGTTTTATGATATACCCACTTGTTTCTGATATTGCTATTCTGGGTTGAAACTTGTCCGTGTAGCTGGGTGCGTGTTTGGAGTCGTATTTGTTTCTTCGGAGGATTAGTGAAAGGCATGGTTGCGATGGAAAGGAGGAATGGACTGGTAGTATGCTGGGACGATGGAACCGGAACAGAGCGCCGTGGTTATATCCGCAGCTACTGGTCATGTGGTGCTTGGGACTTGGCTGTGCTGGTGGATTATGCAGCGTGGAAGTGCGGACATTAAGTTTGTACCGAACTTGGTTCCTTGGCCCATGGTATGTCGACTTTGATGCTGTCATAGGTATGGGAATGAGGATTACTGTTTGCTGATTGGAAAAGGGCGGGTGGTTACTGTGCCTCGTGACACGGGCTCTCTGCTTCATTCGCATTGCGAACAACAAGGCCTGTTGCGAACAGTACGTGAGTCAACGAAACGGCGTGAATCAACTTCTACGTTTGACTGCAGTCGCCCCGGTACTCTCCTTCCCTCACATGAATGTACTTTTTTTCTACTAGTGGCCGCCTAGTATCCTTGTACTATTACCCCCTCCCGCCAAGATGTCCACATCACTTGACACGATGGAATCTAAGCTATCTAAGCTAGAGGATCCCCTAGACAAGTCCACGACACTCCGCGGTCGTACGTCAGTCGTTATCGTAACCACAGTCATTACCTAGCTCACGAGCCCTGTGACATTATTAACAGCAGTCACTACACATTCACTTTAGTCCTAATCCTATCCAGTACTTCCTCCGAATACAGATATCAGCAAGATTACTCCCCACGGCACCAGTCACTGGACGAGTTGTTTCCGCGCTGACACCATTTCTACACCGCATCGACACAGTACCTTTACGCGCGCCCCAAGAGGGTTAATAGGGCTACAATACCTACCCAGCAATGGCAGTCGGAATGACAATGCTACGGCTCAGCATGAGAGTAGTAGAAATCCAGATGAGAAGAATGAGAAAAGACTTGAAGATTGCCAAGACTCAGAAAGACGGGGACAAAGTTACTTCATCAAAATAGCGCAGGGCAAGAACGGGATGAGTATGACGGAGGGAGAGTACATATCCGCCACTGATATGCAAAACGTATCACCGCGGTTCTGTACTAGATATGTTGGCCGCGTGTCTTTTCGAGAAGAAGACGAAGAAGAAGCTTTCGACGACGAATGCAAATATGGGGATAGAGTTACAAGAGAAGAGAAGGTGCACTATTGCAACGCCTCAGAGTTTGTAGCTATGCGCTCACCGACCACCTCCGACATTCAAATTGTCATCCACCAACTCGCCCTCTTCCACGCCAAAAGCGCGGAAAAATGCTCAGTCCTTAAGTACTGCGGACGGCCTAAAGGAATGTTCTTCGGTTACCACACCACGACACACAACGGCAAACTAGCACAGGACAATAAGTGGACGACTATATGGGAAGAATGCTTCACGCGCAACATGAGGAGGATGCTGGAATATGATAAGAAGGAAGGCGGGGAGCGCTCGGTAGAAGCGGAATACTTTTTTGAGACTTTTTTTCGACAAAGACACGCCAAGACTATTGCTTCCTATGGAGATGTATGGGCGGAAGGTCAAGCCATCACTTATCCATGGAGATTTGTGGGCTGGGAATATAGGGGTTGGAGAGGGGGGAGAGGTGGTGGTGGTGTTTGATCCGAGATGTTTTGGGGTCATGGGGAATGTACGATAGCCGATCCCAAGCGAGAATGGCGGGTATAACAGAGAAGAAAGCTGATTTATAAACCATAGATGATCTCAGAACTCTCAACCAGTAACAGCGCAATGATTCACTACGACATGTACCTGCCACATATCCAGAAGAGGATTTTGAGGCGAGGGCTATGTTGTACCACTTGTGCGTTCTTTTCCCCCTCCTTTGTTGGCTGTTTACGTATGCTGGAGGCTTTGGTGCTGATGTCTATAGGAGAAGTTGTCTGTATGATTATGCACTTTTTCTTAAGGACCCTGGGAATAGACGGAGGTTGGTTGAGAAACTTGATGGTTTGAGTTGATGGAGGACGGAGAGACTGACGGAAGGACAGGTTCATGAAAGAGACTGCAGTGTTAGTTCGGTTGTTTCCGGAAGGGTTGGAAGGGTGGTTGAAGGAAAGAAAACTTGATGAGAATGTGATGGTGATAGAGTGAGGGATTGAAGAAGACCTTACGAGCCGCCTGAGTATCTATGGCGGTATTTCTTCAATCAAGCTAGCTTTTCACGCAACCATCACTCTTCCTTAATATGAACACTAACCCCTTCTCCATCTTCCCAAAAAGCCACAGTCCTTTCCGCGATCGTCTTGGGGTTCAGCACCTTGTTCTCGGGCGCTACAACTCCCTCAACATAAACCAGCCCGATGTGTACACCACTATCACTGAACGCACGACTGAAGCTCTCCATCATGTTCTTCTGCGAAGCCTTCACCAGACTCAGTGAGAGGAGTTGCGGTACAGGATCCCATGATAGATGGCTGTTAGTGACGAGAAGAGCTGGTTTGAGCGACGAATTGGACTTGGCGAGGTGCTGGAGTTTGGGTATGTAGTGCTGTGCTATGGCATAGAGGGCGAGGTTGGTTGTCTGTTGTTTCTTTTAGTAAATCGCGTGAAGCTCGTGTTGGGAAGAAGGGTTTACTTTGAAGTCCTCCTCAATCTCCTCGACACTGACACCCAGAACATCGTTCGGCTTGATTCTCGCAGCGTTGAAAAAGACGACTTCGACATCTTTTCCTTCGGTCATGCGGTCTAGCTTCTTGAGTACGTCTGGTATGGACTTTGTGTCTGCGAGGTCGATGCGCAGAGTGTCGACTTTGACAGAAGAATTTCTTTTGCTGACGAAGGGTGCATCTTCCTTCTCGAGGCGTTCCGTGTTGCGCGATAGAAGAACGATATGCTCAACCCCTTTGGACGCAAACTCAGAAGCAACATGGTTGCCGATTCCCGGTCCGGCGCCGAAGATGATGAGGGTGCGTGTCATGTTGAAGTACTCAGGTGTGATGCCGTCGATGTGGTATGTGAGAAGTAATCTTGCCGATACGGCTGGAGCCTCCGACTTTATACCTCGCAGCTCCTAAAACCACATTTCCAATCACGATGTCGTCAAAGGTCTGGCTCGCGTATCTTACTATTGCCTAGCTGCATCGGAATAATGCTTACGGATGTCGTTTGTCCCGAGGTCGCCACAGGGCATACTCAGGCTTACATATGGCAACCTTGGAATGCCCACTACAGCATCGCAGTTTGGTAGCTGATATTACCGCAACGAGTAGAGTGGCGGGATGCAATGCTGAAGTCCGTGTTTGTTCGAAAGAGGAATGCCCGAGGGTGTTCCAGACGCGTGCAGTATGCCCCACTTGCCCGCCGCGCTATGTTAGCGCCTCGCGTCATATGCCCATCTCCGCTTTCGAAGGCTTCACTGGCGTTGAGTGAGGCTGAATGGCTGACAGCATTATGTCGTTACAGTGAGAGGGCAGTTTGCTTAGGCATTCAAGCTGTAAAAAGCTTTCTGTGCTGAGTAAGAAGCGCCGCCTGCGGGGTCGCTTTCAAATCTACGATCTTCCCCAGATCCCATCTCGTGTTACACAAATTTCCCATTCACTAACTTCATCACCATCTTCATGCGATGTGCGAAAGTGGGAAACAACGAGAATCTGTAGAGTTTGGCATGTATCGTGTCGGCTCAGAATGACTCATTTTGACCCAGCCTCTTTAGGCCAGATAAGGCGTACCTTTATAACGAGAATGCGTCGCAACACATTTCCATAGATTTCTTTTCGCCATTTGCTTAGCAAAACACTATGGCGCAAAGAATAAGAGATACCACGCTTGCCAGCGGTTTCACAAAGACGATACATAAGAAACCGACCACCGCCCTAGACCCAGCCTCCAACAAGTTATCCAAGCCACTCAACGTCCTCATAATCGGCGCATCTCGCGGCATTGGAGCCGGAATCGCATACGCGTACGCGCAAGCAGGTGCCGTATCTCTTATCCTAGCAGCGAGGTCGTCTTCAGCCCAGGAGCTAGCAGCAGTCGCACAACAAGCTCAAGATCTCAACCCTTCGACAACCGTCAAAAGCCTGGAGGTCGACATAACATCCAGCGAAAGCGTTGCGCGACTTGCGAAGAGCGTGAAAGACCTCGTTGAAAGGCTAGACGTTGTCATCCTCAATTCGGGGTACTCGGGGCCAGTAGTGCTGAAAGTCGATCAAGGGAATCCGCAGGATTTCCAAGATGTGTTCGACGTTAATGTGCAAGGCACATATCTAGTTGCGCATCACTTCATTCCGCTGCTGAAGCAGAGTGATGGCGCGAAGACGTTCATCGCCATCAACTCCTTTGCGGCATGCATCACCAACGGACATATTGCGAATACTGCGTATTGCATCTCGAAATTCGCGCAAGCACGTCTTGTCGAGTTCTTGTCGGAGCAGTACGGTGCGGATGGCATACTAGCGGTTGCTGTGCATCCTGGGGCTGTGAACACCGAGATGGCGGATAAGACTACGCCTGACAGCTTTCGATCCTGTAAGTGCGTCCCTACATGATTGTGGTGATGTTTGCTGACTTTGTAGACCTCACAGATGATGTTGGTCTTGGTGGCGCGTTTTGCGTGTGGTTAAGCAGTGAGAAGCGCATGTGGTTGAATGGCCGGTTACTGGGTGCGACATGGGACGTTGACGAGCTACTGGAGAAGAAAGCCCAGATTGAAGAGCAAGACTTGCTCAAATTTGGCTATAGGGTTGGCGATGCTTCGGCCGCTGGAAAGCGAATATGAAACTGGTCTTTAAACAGGTTATATCCTCTGTTCGCGCGTCACCTGCCAGTCTCTTTCCCAATCTGCCAGTTGGGCGACATTCCCTTAATCATATATACACGATCTCCTGTAGGCAGCAGGAAGCTCGTCCCGCAAGTGCTGAGAGCTTTACCACTCAAGTCCGAGCCGAGCGAAGCCCTCCGTACACTGGTGCCCACAAGACATAGATCCACCGTGAAATCGGGGTAGTTGATAAAGAGTTGTGTTTCCAGAAATTGCGCAAGCATATGGTGCAGAGAGATGTGTGTACTAATACAAGATGCACAAATCCTTAGTCCAATTCCCGGCTGGCTGATCAAGAGCTGAGTTCCTGCTGTCTTTGTTGGCTCGGATGGGTTGTCTTTAGCAAACCGAGCAAGAAAGGGGTGATCATTCTTGCTTCCAAAATGGAAAAATGCATGCTGGGCCCACTGAAGGAGCGCGAGATGGCCGCGTTCTGACATGGATATCGCATCCTTGAGACAACCCAGCCAGTAAAAAAAAATTCGTTTGCCATTTCAAAAAAGTATGGGGCGTGAATAATGAGTCGAGGTGGCTGTAAGAGTATGTCGTAGAGTCTGGGTTTCATTATAGCGTACGCTTCTTCGTAATCATCTTTGAGCACCTTGGGATGGTGAGAAGAACCACTTGGTGAACAAGAGTGCCGTAGCACTTGCGGTTATGGGTGTTTGTCATTCGTACTATGGAGTGTCGCCGGATGACTGGGAGTTGCTCATAGACAACTATTCGGACCTCTTTCGGTAGACCGAGAAATCTGAAGGATTCCATGTTCGCTTCGACGGTTATTCTGAATGTGTGTTTATGACAGATGAGGGAATGTGCGTTCCGGTGCACAATTAGTATGATGCAGACGATTGATGCTGGACGCAATGGTTTGTGCGCGTCTCTAATGACATAATGGAAGCGAGCTGAGCGTGGTGTCAGCGGTAACATATCTTGATGTATCTCGCGAATCTGCTGCACCCATTTGGCTATCACTCAGACCGTGGTTGACCTATGAAAAGCGTCTGAAGCACATCGTGGCTACTTTCGCTGTGGGCGACGCGCGGATGTTGTTACTGTGGAAGACTCAGACAACAAGTCCGATCAATCCGCTGATATGCACTGCACAGCAATAATCCCAAAGACGGTTCCTCGTTGTGTGGTGGGAGAGAAGCGGCAGGAGGCTTCCTAGGATCAAGTGTGTTGTTGCTCGATTTGAGGCTAGCCGATCTTGAACTAGTGCCATCTCCCCCTGTTGTCCCTCCATGGCTATGGCCCACTCGATCGTTCCATCCTCCATGTCACCAGCTGCCAGCTACTGGCTATCTGCCTCACTTTTGATATCGATAATCGCGTTTTTCCGTTGCTCTCATATGCATTCCCATTCTGCTCTGGAGAGCTGACTAGAGCTTACGGGGTCATGACGCGTCCCCGATTTTCAAGGCGTTCCCGGCGGATTCGCTCGCATCACCACGCATCAATCACGCTATATGTACACGAGCACTGCAACTACCACTGAGAAGCGGGCATCGTCTCTATTGATCACAGAGTCTGCATCGCTGCCCAATATTGAAGTTGGAGTGCCCAAGATGACAACAGGCTGAAGCTCTTGTGACCAATAGAGCGCGCCTCATTCTGGAAGCGAGAGAGTCCTCCATCGTGCTGCGCCCGCTACTCAGCGCCACGAGAGTTACACGGTGAGGGTGTCTTGCGATGCCGATTCCCGCACGAATTATGATTAAGCTTGCTATGGGCAGTGCGATACATACACCCGGGCGGGTACCGGCAAGTAGGCTCTTTTGGCCTGTTCAGGACGCCGTTATTGCCGGCCAATAAACGAGTGACCGTGTTCAGACACCGTACGACTAGTTGCATCTCTTCTATATACCTTGTCGTTGCCTAAGGATCTGGACTCTACACACCCTGGCCACACCGGCCTCCTACTTACACACCCGGTTTTCTCTTGAAACCTACCACCATCATAACACCGACCTTCAAATCATGATCACCCCTTCCAAGTATGGTCACCCAAGATTCTTTGCCTGCATGACGCTAACAATGAACGTAGCTGAGACCAAAGATGAGATCTATCAAGCGATCACAGCCTACAAGCGACGCGAGTTCGCCATGGGCAGGCATGAAATTTACTCAGCCAGTTGACTCAGATGCTCTGCACGAGCTTCTGAAAGAACAGTACCCACGGTGCAAGACTTTGCGGCAGCGAAAACATATGGCTGCCATAGATTTCCTGAGACACGAACTCGAATTGATGCAACATGAGGCAACGGAGTCGGCAACAGGAACATCATGTGAGACCCAGGCACTATCAACACTTGATGCTTCTAGGCCAGATGCCGAAGAACTGGCGGAGCTTAAGCATCGAAGAAGCGTCTCACCTTCGATGTCACGCAGCAGCTCGTACCGCTCTCCTATGCACCTAGATGATCACATACCACAGATCGGGGTTGGTCAACAACACGTATTCAGTATTGTGGAAGGATTTGCGATGCAGCCGAAAAAGAAGCGCAAGATGACTCCCGCAGAACGATCCGCTTACAAGACTACGAGAAAGGTCGGTGCTTGTGAGAAGTGTAAGCGACAAAAGGGCAAGGTATGAGACGATTTGATGCGATAAGAGGGCAGGTTTAACAAGGTGTAGTGTACTCATGTCATCGGAAACCTAGTATCGATGGCAAAACCCTTGCAGGAGGGAAAGGCCGTTTCGCAGAGGTAAGAGATTGTGATAAGAGTCGGCGTTCGCAGGCAGGATACTAAGACATGGTTGCAAGACTTCACGCAACACTCCCGGCATCGATGACCGCCTCCAACGCTGAAAAACCTGCTCGCACTCACCAGCAGACCCAAGACCTTTCGCAGCAGCAACGCACGCCTCTTCGAACATCACCAAAGACACAGTCGAACACAGTACCCGGCAGCCCGCAATGGACTCAGGGGGTACATGAGATACAGGAGGGCAGTCAATCAGGGATGTCGGGGTACGTAACTTCCCATATGACTGGGCCTTACACAGAGGCTCCACAAACCAGCCAGGACGATCAATGGAACAATCAAATCTCGTTCGTTGAGCCACAGACATTCCAGGCTAGTCATTGTGGCTACTACAATCCACTGGACCGGAACGGGGCCCCTCCTTCATTCTCACCCTTCCCAGGCCTCTCTCCAAGAGAGGTACAGTATCCACCAGCTTTGTTTGATCCGTCTTGGAACCAATCTATGAGCTACTTGTCTGGTGAGGCTAACCCTAGGTGACCTACTACGAACATCTAGAGCCTTTCATCCTTCACCAAGGCAGGGTGACGATCGGCTTACTTACCTTCACTACAACTCAAAGGCTCTCGGTACCCCGTCCGATAATCTGGAAACATGTGGCCACCAGGAGTCCCAAGTATGTTAGGCTTGTACCTTAACGATTCATGGGGCCGGACTTCGTATAGAGCCTGCGCTCTACACAGCTTTTCATCTTGCGCATGCTTCTTGTCATACAAGAAGCTTCCTTTGTTTGTTATATCTACTCCAGGCATGGACTCCCGGGATCTCAACCCACGGGCAGAATCTCAATGGCAAGCATGTCTAGCTCGATCATTACGCTGAAGGGATGCGAGCGGCTAGCGGAGATCGTAACATCCTGACCTAAGATGTACTACTCTAGCCATGGTTACCAAGAACTAAGAGAGAGAGAGAGAGTGGGGTATGCTGTCATACAGAGGACCTTGTATTCTGGTTTCATACGGGTACGTTTATGCACTAAAAGTAAGCAGCTAACGCGACGATGAAGATGCTTGAATCGCTCGATCTCCGTCCATTTCCTTTTCGTTCACCATGTTCCCTCTCCTCAAACGATGTATGGCCGACCGGTTTCTCCTTTAGGCTTTGGTCCAGCGTCGTATCGCCAGCATGACTAGTAGACTTAGCACTACTAGTATACCGGTTGCATACTCGCTGCTGGACCGCCATGTCTTCATTTTGGTAGGACATTGCCAACCACGTCCGCTCACGGTCTCCTTTGTCATCTCGCTAGACGCATCTAGCAAGCGTCCAGACCGGCTTCTTCTTTCTCACGGTCCAAGCAAACGAAACAACATCTAAGAATGCGCACAGTTTCTAACAGTCTTTACAGAATGCCTGCATCAGTCACGCCGTCCAGCTCAGAGGTGTCATCTCCAATCACGAGTACGACGTCTTCTCCCGATACTCCCGAGACAACAGTGACCACACCAACTGCGACAATGCTCGCTTGACGAATGCATCATACGTTTTGACGATAACGACTTCACGACACGACTTACGATTTGACGTTTCAGTTTGGTTCTTTTTGACTTTCGAACTCAACACATTCGCTACGGACGCTGGAGCTTACTATTATTATGGGCTATACAAAGGCTAACACGAGCCGTAGCGGAGGAGGAAAGCGCTGGACCATGTTGAATGTCTCCCCGCCAGTCTATGCATATTAGTTTTACATCCCTCTATTAACGCTTTAGCTACCATCACACCTTCTGACACTCCGCTCATTCGTCTACATCAACATCAATCCTGCATAACACTCCACCCCTCGCCCCTTCCTCTCCCCCCGAGTCCCCTCCCACCCCTGACAACGCGTCCATGCCCCCTCTCTCCCAACATCTTCCCACTTGGCGCGTCAACCTTGCCAAACTGCTCTGCCTTCTCTTGTGCCTCCGCTGACAACTGGGGTTCATTCGCCTTAGCCCCCATCCCCTTATCATCTCCACCAGCATCTTCAGCATCCTTAGCAGGCCACTTCTTCGCAAAATCCTGCGCCCCACCCCCCACAGCCCTCATCTCCTCATCCACCTGCCCATCCTCTCTAGCCGCATACTTGCCCACAATCTCCAACAATTCTTTTTTCCCATGCTTCTCCCTCTCCGCCTTCCACTTGCCAAACTCATCCCACCACCACCCATGCGTCACACCGTCTTTACCCAGATACCCTGCTTTGCCATTCTCATCCAGCCTCGCTACCCACGGCTTATCGACGATGTAATGCAGGACTGCGACCTGGTCGTCGCGCCAGATATTTTCGTGCCAGTACCGCCACGTCTTCAACGCATTGGTTTTCCAGGAAAGACTGCTCCACCGCCCGTCGAAGGCTTCGTTGAGGAAATCTTGGTCTGGGAATTTCATGGCGCGTAACTTTGCATTGCCCAACTCCTCGAACTTGTTCAGTACGAAAGAAGACAACTGTTGACTAGGCCGGTACAGAAAAGTCCCCGAGTTGAAATTCGAAAGCGTATATGGTTCTGACTTAACCTCTGCCAACTGATCCGGTGCGGCGAGTTTCGCAATAGCGCAGTTCTCCGGGTTCCATTCCGCGGGGGCCCAGGAGTCGTGGTCTAGGTTGCAGACACAGGTATGTACAGCCATCGTCCTCATCCCATCACCCCCCTTGAGATACGCGTCGTTTTCTTCGTTGAAGACCAAGGGTGAGGGGTTGGAGAAGATCATCATGTCGGCGTCGAGCCAGCATATCCGTTCGAATTTGTGGCCAGGCATATCCCAGAGATCAAAAACCCGCAGTTTCGTCCACGTATCGATGAAGCGCTCGGCGACCATGCCGTGTTCGGTTCCATCTTCAGGCAGGCGCAAGTGTTCCACAGGGTGCAGGATTATATTCGAATGCGCGGCTTCAGCTTTGAAAGCGTTGATGCAGGTTTCTGGGAGGGTTTCCGGGGTGTAGGTTATTATGAGGGGCGTGGAGGGTGAGTGTTTGTGTAGGGTGTAGGCGAGGAGAATTGCGCCGGCTAGGTAACTGGGTCGTGTGAGGAGGGTTACGTAGGCGTCCTTGCCTTGATTGACGTTTTGCTGGTCTGCCATTGTGAGTACCGGTGATGCTCCAGTACTTTGGCTGTTCTTCTGTATTGGTGGTTCAGGGGAACGGGCAGGGGTAGTCAAAGGTACATGCCCTTGAGAGGTGTTCACAGGTCCCACTATGGCTCTGACGTCACGACTCAACAATCCGAGGCCGGAAGGCACAACGCTTGTAATCGGAATTGGGATATACACAATCTCATGTGAAATAAGAAGCGAGGAAATATAGTGTTACAGGTTCAAATTACGGGTATCTCAAGAATCCTACGTCGCGACGGCCACTCCCACATGCACCTATCATACAATCCCCTAGAACTGCTTCCCATCCTCTTTCGCCAACGCCTTACCCCAAGCGCTCTCGAACGGATCGTCTGACTTAGCCTCCTGTGCATCCTGTAAAGCTGCAACCTCAGGCACCACGCTCGGCTTTGTTAGCTCGACAGGAGCAGGGGCAGATTGACTCAACGCGGCAGCCTCTGGGCTTTCGTACTCGAAGTTGCTAGAGTAGACGACAGCAGCGAACGCCTCAAGACCACCAACAGCTTCGATAGCAGCTAGGTATTCGTTGTTCGCTCCAGTACCGATGCTGTGCGCTTGTCTGCAGAATACGGCTAAGCTGTTCGCGACCTTGGCCTTGATGTCGTGTCCAACAATCTCCTGCACACGAGCGTGGTTGTCAGAGATGGGCGGGATCTTATAGGAGAGTTGTGAGATCTTCACATCGACGAGGTGGGAGAAAGCAGTGTCGAGGAGCTGTGTGAGGACATGTGTGAAGGCGGGCGAGTCGATGAGGTCAGAGGTTTCGTCGATTAGGCGGCGGAGAGAGGTTGTTGTTGTGGGTGATGTGGACTCGGAGGACGAGGTCATGCCGGATTCACGGAGGACGTAGTCTTCCTGGTCTTGCGGTGGAAGGAGGAATGTAAGCCACTTGCATGTTCTGTAGGGAGTTAGCTGGTGTCATTTGAGATGAGATGGGGCTCTTACCTTCGCTCTTCCTCTGTTGCACCTTCAACCCTCTTGCGCACTTCCAGGGTAAGTTCCGACAGTCTCTCCAAGGTCATTTCTTCTCTGGGGTTTACCAGGCCGAAGACGTCCTTGACTGCAGTCCGCACTTTCTCGATGAGCTCTATGCATCCCTTGTGTAGGAGCCACCAGCTCAAGCTGAGATACCTGCGGTTTGTCTCAAAGTCGTTGCCGTATGCTTGCTCAAAGTTGTCGTCGTCATTGTTCTCCAAGTTGATCCTTGCGCCTTCGGTCGTCGACTGCGGCGCGGCTAACGACACAACGGAGGCGAGGTAGTTTCGGCGGCCGAGGAGGTTCAGTTGAATGCGAGTTAGAAGCGTGAGGAGAGAGAGGGTGTAGATAAGGGTGAAGGCGCGTGTTATGGCTGGTTGCGTCAGTATGTCAAGTCTCAACGCCAACATCACGGTGCTTACAGCTGATCTTCATCTCGCTCCATAGTTGCGCCTTGCTCTTCTTGCTCTTCCTATCCTCCCTGACCTCTGGGATAGCCTCGGTAGGGCCCGTGCTGCTGTCACCCTCTGTAGCGATTTGGCTGGCATGGATGAAGCTATCCGTCTGAAGACTCGAGCTCCGTGCGTCATCCTCAGTCGTGTCTGCTACACTTGGAGGCGCTGAACTGGCAATCTCGCTGGGTCCGACACTCCGCGATAGGCGCTCTGCCTTTTGTCTCTGCAGCTCCTCCAGTACTTGTTCGACAGGAATGGCATCCAGTATGTTCTCGGTCGCGGTGGGCAGGATGGCGAGGACGGTGAAGGTGCAGTCTTCCTGGTTCTGCTCGAAGCGGCGACGTAGACTGCACTGTCGTTAGAGGATGTCATGTGATAGACACGGTGTGAGCGCACTTCTCTTTGGCGATGCGATCATCGCTCATGCGCTGCCTCGCCTCCCCGAGCTTGCCCAGGACATACTGCCCCGCCAGATAACCCGCGCCGAGCACTCCGGCGCCGATGGCAAAGTTTGTGCGGTTGCGTCTGAGCCAGCGACGCGTGCCTTGTATCATGGTGATGGTTGAGAGGGCTATGCAGCCCGCGTACTCGGGGGTGGAGCAGTCGTCGCGTGTGGGGAATGTCGGAACACCACCAGAGATAACGCTGCGTCCCGGCAACTCACGGGTGCGTCAATGCGATAATACGTAGAGCGAGAGGCGTATTTGTTTAACTAATCGTGTAGTAACGGTGCGTGTAGCAGATGGGCAGTCGTGATAGAGCAATGCAGGCGTGCAACTTCCAGCGCATGCGAGGTTGGTGTCCGGTTGCACCAAGGCTTCGTGATTGGGCCGAGGTCCGTTGCCCTTTCGGGATAGGAAGCCCTGGCCGCTTTCGCCCCAGAATGTTGTCATCACCAAACCGCTTTTCGTAATCCGAGCCTACACGCGCGACTAAGCTGTTCTCCGTCACGAGATTGCTCTGACCAATGTTCATTCTTGTTCCCCTATAGGTCAATCTCAAAACAACTATTGCGTTTCCAATTAAATAAGTACAGTGACATTTAGAGAAGACAGAATACAGACAACTACACTGTTTTCCATCAGGACAGACACTTGCACGCTGGAGCACCAGGCAATAAAGACTTGGATCACTTCTCGTATACATGTCTTTTAGATCATCCATATATGTCCCCACTATCATCTGATTCCATAATGATAACGGAAACGCAAGCTTTTAGATCAACCCTCATCCCATCAATGCCACTCATGTTCACCCTATCGTCTCCATCTCGTCCTCCTCCTTCCACTCACCCTTGGCCACCCTTGACGTCGCCCCCTACATGAGATCAATCAGATTCATTCCCCCATCTTCATACTTGATGACCGGACGGCCAATTTCCTTGACAACAGGCGACGCGGCGTTGTTAGCGAGGACAATGTGACCGTTGTGCGTGAGCGAGGGGCCACGAAGTTCAGCGGCGAAGGTAGGACGGGGAGTAGGCATCCTGATGGTTGGTTCTTCGCGCTTGTGGACCATAGTACCGTTGGTGGCGTTGATATGGCCGTTGGTCTGTCCGTTGACCTTACCCTCCATCCTCGAAGTCTCCTCAGCAGATTCGGTCTTCAGATCAGGTACGGGGGTGCCTTTCTCAGCAACAATCTTGTTCTGATGAACAGCCTTCGCAGTGTGTTGATTGCTGTCCTCAGCTTCCATTCGGCCGAGAAGAGAACCAATGTTGTAGAGATTGTGGGGATGATTGGCATCATACAGGAAGTCCAACTCGGGATTATCCCTCGCAATAAGCCCCTGACGCACTTTACTCAGCGTAACCTGCGTACGATGACAGGCCCCATAGCCCTCCAGAAAGCCGCGCTGGTGCGATTCTTTGAGTGCTTCCTTACGACCCACCTCTTTACCCACACCCAAACCGTCGTTGTACGCCTCCTCCGCAACCTCATCAGCTTTCTCATGAGTGATGGAGTTTTCGGCGAATTCAACTTCAAGTTGCTCGCGAGCCATGGCTTTCCAGTGCTGTTCGCGCATCTGTTGGGCTCCTTCGCGGAGACGGAGAGCTTCCATCTTGATGTTCAACTTTCCATTCGTATCAGCCATGTCCTTCTGCGCATTGAGTTCGGCTTCGCGGCGCGCGTGTTCCATCTGCACGGCGCTCATCGGTCGGTCGCCGTTCTTTTCTAGGTCGTACATGAGCTGTTTCTGACCCTCGGAGAGATAGACTTCGAGTTGAGTGATCTTCTGCTCCCGGTAGTCGAGGTCGCGCTCTCGAGCTTCGACTTTGGACTTGAGCGTGAGGGCCGCAGCTTGCTCGCGGAGGAGGTTTGTCAGCATGACAGAGGAGGCTGCTTCAACTTTTTGTTGCTGTTCGGCTTCGACGGCCTTGCGGAGACGGATGTTCTTGGTGCGCTCGGCGTCGAGTTCGTTTTTGAGCTTCATCAATTGTGCGTTCATGCGGACGACTTGTTCGCGATCGCCGTGGTCGCCTCCTCGGGATCCGTAGGAGCTGTAGTGGGCGCGAGGTGCTCGAGGACTATCGTTGAATCGAGTAGCTTCGTTTGGCAACATCACGTACTGTATATGTCAGTTTCGCAAAGAACGGTAGGTTTGCAAAGCTACCTACCCTCGGGTCTTGGAGGCCGAAGAGGCGGGATGGAGGCGACTGGAAGTCAGGGCGCATGTGTGGAGGTAGACTATGAGCTGGTCTCGAAGGCTTCGGCGCCACGATGCTCGCGTCTGTGTCGGTTTTGAAGTCGCTATCTTCGGTTTCGATGTCAACGTCGGTCTTGGTGGCCTCAACACGACGTTCAGGGGGCGATGCTATGAAATCTTCTTTGTTGACGACACAGGATGCTTTACTTTGCATTAGTATATGAGGTCGGCAAAGATGTTGAGACGTACCGAGCTTTGACTCCGCCGTCTCGTTAATTTGCTCATTTTGTTCTTGCACGGTTGTGTGGCTCGCTCCGGCCGCGTTGTCGGAGTTTGCCTCAACGATCTCTCCATCTTCAAAAGAGGCAATACTCTTGCTATCGTCTGCAACAAGCTTAGGGGAGGGAAAGAGAGAACTAAGGGTGGTGGTCTTAGTATCTGCCGAACTTTCAATAGCCACTTGCTCTTGGGTGCCCTTTGGCTTCTCGACCTTGGGCTTAGATTCTTTAGACATGACAGGCGAATGATCAAAGTCCAATGTGTTCTCTTGACTGTGGATCTCTCCCTCATGTGTCTCGGTATTTGCAGCGGCAATTTTGACGCCTGAGGGCGCTGCAATATCTACATCGGTGGTCTGGTCGCTGGAAGTCGCCATGCTGAAGGCTTGTGACTGGTACTGGGGTAGTCAGCTCTATGGGAGTAATCGATCGCTTGAACGGTTATCTTGGAGATTGCTGCAGTTTCTTGTCGAGATAGAAGATGCCGTTGTAATAGAACTGGTTCAAGGAGTAGCCGTTCAAGTGGAGTCCGTGCAGGTCGTATCGAAATGATGCCCGACCAAGGTGTAGAGTAAAGGGAGGTAAGTCTTGATCAGTAGGTTGGCAGACTTATATGGCTACGATTTGCCGGGTGAGGGGCGCTAGCACGTGAAGGTCCATGGCCGCAATGACCACCACTAAAGTAAAGGCGGAGTCTTGTCGTCAGGTCGGCGGTGGTGCGATTGAGGTAGGTCCACATGGGTCGTTTCAATGTATGTCCATCTCCTGGTCGCGTGGTGTCACCGGGGCTGGACCACTGGGTGGAGTTAGGCTGATTGAACATAATGTGTGCGTTTGATAGTTTCGTTTGATACTTTCTAGTGCGCATGTCGCGTCCTTTGGCGCCTGATATAGCATTGTCCACCGTGCTCTCGACAATTGAAACTGCGCCAAGAAAATAGTCATCTGACGAAGTTTACCTGAAGGCTTCATGGATAAAGGACTGCTCCATTACTTGCTCATAACGCACACCCATGTCAAGGAACGCCCGCGTTAGTTCGGGCGCCTCTGACAACTTGTGCTTAGCTCGGAAACTCAGGTCTTGCAAGCTCAGATCAGATGGCCTGCATCCTGATACTAGATCCCATAAGTAACTCGATTCATCCATACTCTTGTAGCCCACCCGATATAGGCTTTCATAACCGAGCAGCATCGTGAAGTTGGTAACAGACCGCGATAGTAGCTCGGCTATTGGGGATGCGCTCTCAGGGAAATCACCATATGGGGGAAAAACACCGAGCAAACAATTCTGAGACACGATCAACTCGCTCAAACGTTCGAACGATCGAAGAGTGCCGAGAGGTTCAAGCAGTACCTGATCTGCGTACCCCTCGTCTTCTTCGTCTAGATTAGAGTCCGAATCTTCCTCCGATCGGAACATGAGTTCACGAAGATCGAGATGTAGGAACTCGAGCGTCTCAGCGTGACATAAGAGGCTGGCGTAAAGGTCGGACGGCCTTCCTTCAACATCCTCCAGGGAATTCCATGTACAAACAACATGTCTTAGGCTTTCACATGCCGACAAAACACTGGCCACCGAATCTATCTCAAGGAAGCATTCAGTGATTTCGAGTCTCTGCAGCGTGTTCCAGCAGCCAAGCTGAGGCATCGATTCTGACGGATGCGACGCGACACCACAAGCTCGGAAGTCGTTGAGCATGGGAGCCGTGGATATGTAGGGGCAAATCTGAGGGAATGACATGGTTCTATCGTCCATGTAGTAGCCATGGGTAGCCGTATGGACGCACAAGGTTCGGAGCTTGCTGAAAAAATGTTCGGCTACTGGCTTAGGTGCAGATGAAGGTGATGTGTCCTGCTCAGGGACAAGGTGTTTCCAAAAGGATCGTTCGTGGTCTTCTATGTTCTCGATCGACAGGTGTTGTAGGTTGGGTGCCTGTTTCACAACGTCGGCTAACATGGTAAGGTAGTGTTGTGCGATGATGTGCGGTGGTATGTTGTCGTTCTGGCACCACTTATCCATGCGTCGAATTTCCACGTACTTCAGATATTTGTTGAGTTCCTCACCTGAGCCGAAACGGTCCAAAACTCTCTCGCGCCACAGCCGGAGAGTTTCTGTGCCGTGCTCGGTGGCGGTTCCTATAAACGAGGCGTACAGGATTGGGTTAGCCAGTCGCCTAAGACGACGGGACGTCGAGCAGAGATTGTACAAGGCCAGCCGGCGGATCTGGTTTTCGTATTGACGGTTTGCTTCTAGCACTCCGTCCTTCTGGTGTTTGGTGTACCTGAACTGCGTGTCGTAGGAGCGGATGACGCCGAGTTGTCCGATTATCTCCTGCACCATTTCGTCGGGCAAGACGTCGAGCGACTCATGTTCGGATTCCATAGCAAATCAGTAGCTTCGGCTACGTGAACCACGCGTGGACGAATGGATGGAATGAAAATGAAGCTTGTTGTTGCACGACGGTAGAACTAGAGCGCGTCGTGGAAGTTGACAGGGCATTAGGCAGCCTGAAGGCTAGCCCGAAAGAGGAAAGGTGTTGACCGTCATAGGCGCTAGGAAACACCAACATCTCCGCATCAAGGTACTTATGGCTGGGCAGGTGTGTATGTTGACGAACGAGACTCACAAGATGTTGTTACATTATTATGGGTATATCGCACAGCTCAATCATATCCTCCAAGCAGCTCACACCACTCTCGTCGTCTTCCCCGTCTCGACATCGTAAATCCAGCCGCTGAACCGAATGTTCTCCTCGATCGCTTTGATCCGCAGCCATTGTATATCCTTCTTTACTTGAATCTCCAGATCACGGAAAGGCCGGAAGTCGAGAGTCTCCACCTCTCTCGCAGCTATCTCTCCTCTCTTCTTCATGACCACGGCTTTCGCAGTCGGGTTGTCGAATGTGAGCATGCCGCATCCGGTGTGCTTTACGACGATGACTTCTCTTGTTCCAAGCAGTTGTTGCGATATGACGATGGATCGGAACGCGTCGTGTACACAGCCGCCGGCGTTGCGGATTACGTGGGCGGCTCCGAGAGGGATGCCAAAGGCGGCGGTTGGGTCGATGCGCGCGTCCATACATGTTACTGACGCGTCGTATTAGCGGAAGATGGCTGCAGATGTGGTTGCAGGTGCTTACCGATGGTATATCTTTGGCTGGGTGGTAGCGCTAGATGGCCCTGGTCGAAGGAAGCAGCATACGCCTGGTTCCCGAGCTCGAGGTTCCTTTCTCCGTGTGTAGGCATTGTCGGTGATGATTATAGGAGGATGTAAGTGATTATGGTGGGTGTACTGCTGGATGCATTGCCATCCCCTGCGACCTTATATATCGCCATGTCGCCGTCCTGATTACTACGATACGCGCCGGTTGCTTTTCGCACCTAAGGAAAGTTGCGGCATTGCGGGGGTGAATTTCGCCATGTTACTGGCCTGATACAATTGGCGTTGATACGCGAACGATATGCGACAGACGTTACCGCAGCTGCACGTCTCCGGCAGAGTGGCATCAAAGCAAGCGTGGTTCCATTGGTCATTTCGACAAGGGTCCTCAGGCGGATCTCAGGCAAAGACGGCAAAATGTGGGGCAACCATTCTAGCGTGTCGCAGGCGCATCTTCAGATGTTCCATTAATCCCGATCCTTCATTCTTGATCCTACAAGGCGTCAATGCTTCAGGCTGTTATATCGACTCTTCACCCCCTTGGGTTCCATGCTCATCTACTTCGGCATCCTGACTGAATCGCGCAGAGGATAGCGTTCGGTTTGACTCATGATGTCCGAGACATGAAGAGAGAAGCACCCCACCTATCGAGCTCGAGATGCCTTCCAGGAGATAACAGAGGAACTGTGGCACGGGCTACTGTATAATTCGGATCACTTTCGTCGTGAAGCTGGTATTAAGCGCTGCTTCCCGATGGCACAGCACGAGTCTACTTCCGACCGACCAACGCCGAAAGGCGAACACGCTGCGTATCGTAGGCTTTCGCAATAATTGTCATGTGTCGAAACGTAGATACGATTGCGATTGATGGCAATTCTGTACGAATTCTTCGTTATCAAGAGATGTTAATACTGAAAGAGCTGGGTTTCAAAAGGAATTAGTCTCAAGACTACCTATCACCACAAGGACAATGCCCGAAATGCTACGACGCTGCGATGCAGAGAAGAGGATTACGAGTCAAGAAGCGTCCTCTTTTCTCAGAAAGAATTTATCGCTTTGGTAAGGAAAAAAGTACTGATTCTATCAACAACACGAGGCTGTATGCTTCCGAGCTTGGCATGACGCTGTGGGAGCGTCATGCCTTACAAATCAATTCACGGCCTCCCATGAGAATATACACCCTAACGCACATATATATTCCTTCTACAACTCCTACTGGACCCGGGTCTCTATCGATCATCAATCTATCATGGCCTTCCCGCAACCCACAGCCATCGACAGCTCGCGCTGGCGTCAACGAATCGCGTCAATAACCACAACATCCAACGAACAAATCCGTCTAAACTACATCGAATGCACCCCGTCATCTTCGTCTCGACCAAAAGGCGTCATACTGCTCATCCACGGCTTCCCACAAACCTCATACCAGTTCCGGCATGTCATTACGCCGCTATCAGATGCAGGCTATCACGTTATTGCGCCCGATTACCGTGGCGCAGGACAATCCTCCAAACCATTGACGGGATACCAAAAGACGCAGATGGCGGAGGACCTGCAAATCTTGGTCCAATCGCACTTCGGTATCAAGGACAAGATTCATGTTGTAGGACATGACATCGGTGGCATGATTGCGTTCGCGTATGCATCGCGTTACCCCAACGATGTAGCTAGCGTTATCTGGGGTGAATGTCCACTACCTGGTACGTCATGCTATGAGAACGTGAAAGGCACACCGGACGTCTTCCACTTCGTCTTTCACCAAGTACCCGATCTACCGGAGTTCTTAATCGCAGGCAAAGAGCGAGAATACCTCAAGCATTTCTTCGACAAGATTTCGTATAATAGCGCGTCTATTTCGCCCGCAGATCTTGAGCATTATGCGCTTGCATACTCGCAGCCTGGTGCAATCAGAGCGGGTTTGGAGGTTTATCGCGCGTTTGAGAAGGACGCTGAGGAGAATAGGGAATGGGTCGGTCAACATGGGAAAGTGAAGGTACCGTCATTGCTCATGAATGGGGAGAAGTTCATGCTGGCACAGTCTGCGGAGGGTATGGCGAAGGAGTACCATGAAAGAGCTGAGATGGTGACAATCGGGGAGGCGGCGCATTATATCGCTGAAGAGAACCCCGAGGCATTCGTGAAGGGTGTGTTAGAGTTTGTTTCTAAGCACTGAGCTTCCCCAAGTCATAGACCGCGAGACCTGAATACTTCTTCAAGCGTCTCAACTAGCGTCTGGTATTACTCCCTAGCTCCCTAAATCTCACTAGAATCACGGCACCCTCACTTCGAACTTCCCCGTAGCCTCCGGTTTCGAAAGCACCCAAAGTATACCTTCATCAACACACTGATCCCAATGCTCGGACGCCTTCAACGCTTTCCCAAACCGCCTATGACCATGCGGCACGCCCTTGAACAGCATAGTAGACGTCGGCACGTTAGCTTCGGAGAGCTTCTTCGCAAACAAAAGTCCCTCATCGCGTAGCGGATCCAAGCCAGCAATGCCAAACACCGTAGGAGGAAAGCCCTTGACCTCGTCTTCCGTCGCATTGACTACATTCATCTTGGTGTCTTTCAGATCCACATCCCCGATCTTCAGCAGCTTCGTAAAGAAATCGATGGTTTTTTTCGGCAAAACCGGTGCGTCTTCATTCTCAACATAGGATGAGGTTGAGGGTTTGAGTAGCTTGCCTGGCCCTTGGTCGTAGGTGGCTGGGTGGGCGAGCATTGGGATGATTAGGATCTGGCCGGCTATAGCGGGTAGACCTGCAATGTCTTCGCTCTTTCCAAGGTGCTGCTCCAGAGTTAGGGAAGCGGCTAGGTTGCCGCCTGCTGAAATGCCACCGACAACTACTTGGGATGGATCGCCTCCGAGCATGTCGATGTTCTTGTGCAGCCAGACGAATGCGTCATGAGTGTCATTCCAGGCAGTTGGGAAGATGTGTTCTGGTGTATGGCGGTAGTTGACATTCAGCACCAGAGCCCCAGTCTTGATCGCAGTTTGCGCACATAGCGGGTCCTCGCTACTCAGCGATCCTGTCTCGTCATCAGCCAATAGACCCTGATGCATTACAATTCAAACGCATTACCGAAGATGAAGCCTCCACCGTGGAAGTACAGGTACACAGGAAGCTTCTCGGATGCATCCTTCTTCACGGATCGATAGGTTCGAGCTTCGATGGTCGAGCCATCGCGGGTCGGAATGGCGTGATCTTTGGTTTGGATATGTGGTGCAAACAATTGCTTCACCTCTGCAGAGCGTGCTTCTCGCTCAGAATTGACGGCATTGCGCAGGACAATTGGATCCAGTGAGATGTCGAAAGTCAGTGCGGGCAGTGTCTTCTCCACTGCCAACCATTCTTCTGACGGTCCACCGTACTGAGAGAAGTCCATTGTCGTTTTAATCCGAGGATAGTTGCTTTGTTGATAGAAGGAAGCCCGGCAATATGTTTTCGATTTGTAGCCAAACTTCGTACGAGCCTAGCATTGACGCGTCAAGTCTGCTTCGTCATATCTGCGCCCTGTCGCTAGCGTCACCCCGCAATGTACCGAGGTCCTCACATGCATGCCACCAACATCATGTTTGCTTTTTGACGTTGCTTGCTGTAGGCCCACCATTATCAAGCTGAGCGCGTCGGCTTTGATATTCTTGGCCAGGAGATGACTACGTGCATCTGCATTTGAACTCAATGGTCCAATTCGTCATCCGTAAACACCAGCCGGAAACAACGTCATATACTTAAGTCGAAGACAATGGCTACAGTACCGTCTGAACCCCCACCACGTGGCCTCAAAGATAGAGTGGCGATCGTAACTGGAGCAGGTTGCGATGGTGATGGGATTGGGAATGGTCGTGCGATATCGATCATGCTCGCCGATGAGGGCTGTCATGTCCTTTGCCTGGATCTAAAGATGGACTGGGCGGAGAAGACTGCGGAAATGGCAGCGTCAAAACCACATCGCGGAAGAGCTATAGCAGTCCAGGCCGACGTTACGAAGGCTAGTGATTGCGAGGCTGCAGTAGCTAAAGCGATCCAAGAGTTCGGCAAGTTGGACATACTGGTGAACAATGTCGGTGTCAGCGGTGCACCAGGAACAGCGGTCGATGTCGATATGGAAGCATGGGCGAAGGGACTCGAGATCAATGTTAGCAGCATGGTACAGATGACAAAGTACTGTATACCAGCTATGCAGAAGAACGACGGCGAGATGAAAGGCAGTATCGTCAACATGGGCTCAGTCGCAGGCTTGAAGGGCGGCACGCCGCATCTGTTGTATCCAACCAGTAAAGGCGCAGTGGTCAACATGACTAGGGCGATGGCTGCGCATCATGCAACCGATGGTATTAGGGTGAACTGTGTCTGTCCTGGCGTAGGTTCTTCATTCCTGCTGCATGGCGACGAACTGACACATGGTAGATGCTATACACGCCCATGATGTATGCAGGCGGTATGAGCGAGGAAGCCCGAGAAGCGCGAAAGAAGAGAAGTCTGCTGGGTACGGAAGGCAATGGATGGGATGCAGCGTGTGCTGTGACTTTTCTGAGTTCAGATCATGCGAGGTGGATAACGGGTGCGGTGTTGCCTGTCGACGCCGGTGCGACAGCCGCAGTAGGAATCGGTATGCCGAAGAGCGCCAGTGTCAACGGCTAGAGTATGGAGTACATGAGGCTAGATGGCAGTCAGGGGATGCAGGTGTTGAGGTTTGGCGCAAAACGGGAAGGAGCCGCGGCACATCGACACACGCCGGCTCATTGGCTTGCACCAGCGTCACAATCCAGCTTCAACACCACTTCATGTACTTGTCGCAACAACTACGCAGCACTTCTTCCATCCCCACATGGCATCAGTCATACACACGTGATAGGAGTCTCGTAGTCCATATGAGGAAGGACCATGTGTGGGGCGGAGGGCTGCCCGATGCGCACACTCATTTGCACCAATCGGAGCCTTTCACAGACATTGAGCCCAGCGGTCCGCTCCTTTAGTCCTCTTTAGTTTCTGCGCTGCACCCCAGGTTTCCGCTAGAGATATCTTGGCTTCTCTGTAGTCATGGTGGTCATTCGTGGAAAGCCGGATGATCACAAAATGTAAGTCGTTGACGGAAGAACTGGGGCTGTGGCGTATACCTTCAATCTCGTTGCGGCTCAAGATCAAGTGCGATGTCAGATTTCTTATAAGATAGACTACTACGACCACGTTGAGAACCACCAGTCCGACTGCAAATTTCATCTTCTCTTGTTACCGCCATGAAGTTCCTCCAGTCACTCAGCACATGTGTACTCGCACTCTCTTCCCTCGTCGGCGCAGCAAGCTTCAGCAACCCACTCAAGCAAACGGATGGGTCAGATCCTCACATAGCCTACACCAATGGCTACTACTACATGATGACGACCACATGGACGAACCTGTCAATCACGAGGGCGAAGACGCTTGGAGGCTTGAAGACAGGAGAGACAAAGGTCGTTTGGACCGACACGAACCCTGACAGGTGCTGCAACATGTGGGCACCTGAGCTACACTACCTCGACGGTGCTTGGTACATCTACTATACTGCCGGCCGCAGTGGCACCAATAATCTGGACTTCCAGCGTCCTTATGTGCTCAAGGGTAAGGATGTTCCACTATATAGATGATGAGTAACCTAACAGTCTCAGGCGGAGCGGACCCATTCGGCACATACACCTACCTCTCCCAACTCACCAACGTATGGGGAATCGATGGCTCTATCGTCCGTTTCAACAAATGGGGTAACTACTTTACCTGGTCTTGCTTCTCCGGTGCCCTCCAGTCCCTCTGCATCGCACCCATGACCTCGCCTGGCAAACTCGGCGCCACCAAGATTCTCTCTACGCCTACTGAGTCATGGGAAACCAATGGTAGTCCTGTCCAAGAAGGTCCAGTTGCTATGTACCATGGCGGCAAGACCTACATTGCTTACTCTGCAAGCTTCTGTTGGACACCAAACTACAGCTTGGGTCTGCTCACCTGGAATGGATCGGGTGATCCGGCGCTCAGCGCGAGCTGGAAGAAGAGTGATGGACCAGTTTTCACCAATGCCAATGGCAATTACGGCCCAGGTCATAACGGGTATGTTGGCCAGTCAGTGCTGTATAACGCCCATGCTGACCACAATACAGTTTCTTCACCAGCCCTGACGGTACCGAGATCTGGAATGTTTACCACGCTACTGCTATCCAGACTGGCGCGTGCGACGGCAACAGATACACAATGGCACAGAAGGTCAACTGGAATGCTGATGGAACCCCGAACTTTGGAACTCCAATTAAGCCAGGCACCACGATTGCTGGGCCCTCTGGAGAGTAGTCGTCGATCGTAGTTGGTCTGCGATGGGAAACTTTCTTGTATATATTTGAGGTTGCACACCTGGGCATGGTTGAGATGTGCTAAACTTTGTTCTTTGTCAGAATAGTAGTCGAGCCACCGTTTGCGCAAAGCTCGTGCGTGCAACAAAGCTACGTCGTAACATTATACGCATCATACCGCATGTTTAAGAAGCGATTGGAATGTGTGATCATAGTTACCAGGACAACGCTACCAAGGATGAGTGATTGGCCTCAAGCTTGGATCGAAGTCAGCTCATGTTGCTGCCTAAGAGTCGGTGATGGGGGCTGGGGACCGAATCGATGCGCTGAGCTAACCGGGCCGGAGCCGCAGTGCGCATCTGCCTTGCTATGCATGATGCTTGCTCCGGTAAAGGCGTAATATGCTTAATCTGGGAGGTGAGAATATGAAGATGCTAATGCACGAGTGGACAAGGCCGCTGCAAGCATACACAAGATGGCAGGTGATAGCGACCTGTGATGTACCAGTGTCGGATGACGTTGCGGATGCACGAGTCATGGAATCTGCAAGGTCCCGCACGTGCTAGCGCGCCAACATGCGTCAGCTGCACCCCGGACTCCGCTTCTGGCCAACTCTATCGCCTCCGCCTCCCTCCGCTCTTCTTCTTCTTCATCATCCATCACCACGGTGTTCAGCTGGCTGGCATCATCAAAACTCTCATCAAACTCTAGCTTGATATTGTCAGTTCAGCTATTCAATATGTCTGCTGAGAAGACACCGCTCGTCGCGTCAGACGCGTCGGCACCCGTGCAGCCACGCTACGTGCAACGCTACTCCAAACGTCAAGCTGCAGGAAGGCTGTTTGCCATCGCCGCCACAGCTTCGCTCATACTCTATGGAATTCCGCAGGGTATGTGTATCATCACGTTCAACTGATTCGCGACTAATTGATGTCAAGTCGACTATGAGCCGACCGGCGACTATCCAGAGGAGAGCGAGTTATGCTTGACTCCAGCTTGTGTGCATGCGGCCTCAGAGGTTCTCTACAACCTGTCACCTCAGTACAAAGAGCTTGACCCGTGCGATGACTTTGAGGAGCTTGTCTGCGGTGGCTGGAGAGACCGCCATGACCTGCGAGCTGACCAGGGTGACGCCTTTACCGGCACCATCATGTCGGAGAACTCACAGATGTTGCTTCGCCACATTCTCGAGGCTCCTTACCCAAAGGACTCCGAGGTAAGCGCAACCTTAATATTTAGACCAATCCAAACTAACCCTCCGTAGCACTCTTACTTCTCACCCATGCAGCTGATGTCAATTGCCAAATCCGCCGATGAGGAGAACTTTGACAAGATGAGAGCTGCTTACGATGCGTGCCTCAATGAAGACAAGATCAAGAGCATTGGCGCTGGGCCTCTGAAGCAGGTCCTTGACGAGATCAAGAAGACATACTCTGCCGTCGCTTCGGACTCCCACTCGATCAAGGACACTATCCTTCTTCTGGCCAAGTACGGTATCACTGGTCTTGTTTCGACTGGCACCGGTGCCGACGACACCGACCCGGACACTGTCGTCGTGTCTGTTGGTGCCCCGTATAGCTTCGGACTGCCTTCCAAGGAGCGCTACGAAGATGAGAAACTCGTCGAGAAATATCGTGGTGTCGCTGTTGAGATTCTTAGCGCAATGTACCCCGACCAGGACAAGGCCGTATTTGCGGGTATCATTGACCTCGAAAAGAAACTTGCGGCAGCATCTCCAAGCGAAGAAGATCGCGAAGACGTCACGAAGGCTTACAACCCATTCTCGATCGACGATGCGGCTGCGATCGCTCCCGAAATCGAGCTGAAAGCGCTTCTAGCAGGTCAGGCCCCAGAAGGCGGCGATATCAAGCGCGTCATTGTTACGACTCCGAACTATCTCAAGGATTTATCTGTAATCCTCGCAGCTACATCCGATGATGTTCTCCAGGCTTACTTCATCTGGAAGGCTGTTCAGTCTCTCTCTGCTTACGTTGATGCGGAAGCCGTCAAGCCTTACCGTCGATTTGTCAACGTGCTCGCAGGCAAGGACCCCGACTCCGCCCCCGAGCGATGGCGGTCATGCGTAAGCCACGTCGACAACGGATTGGGGTGGATCTTGAGTCGCTTCTTTGTAGAGAAGGCCTTCTCCGCCGAGGCCAAGAAGTTCGGTGATACCATCATCACAGACATCAAGACCGAGTTCGCTAAAAAGTTGAACGCTGCCGAATGGATGGACAAGGACACGGCGAAGAAGGCCGTCGAGAAGGTGCACAACATCGTCCAGAAGATCGGCTACCCCACCAAGAGCCCGAACATCATGGACCCGCCCACGCTTGAGGAGTACTACGAGACCGTCAACGTTTCGTCAGACGCATTCTTCGCCAATGCACTTGCCATGCGCCGCTTCGAGGTCAAGGAAGAGTGGTCCGCCCTTGGAAAGCCTGTGGATCGCGATCAGTGGGATATGTCTGTTCCAACAGTGAACGCCTACTACAACCCTCCCGGCAACGAGATCGTCTTCCCTGCCGGTATCATGCAGTTCCCAGTCTTTGACGTCAATGTACCCGCGTACATGTCCTACGGTGCTTTCGGCTCCGTTGCTGGTCACGAACTCAGTCACGCTTTCGACAGCACTGGTCGTCATTACGACCAGAACGGCAACCTCACCGACTGGTGGTCCAACTCAACGGTAGAGGCCTTCGAGCAGAAAGTCAAGTGCTTTGTTGACCAATACTCCAACTTCACCGTTCCCGGCCCCGACGATAAGCCACTACACGTCAACGGCAAGCTCACTCTTGGCGAGAACATTGCCGATGCCGGTGGTCTCTCCGCGTCTTTCCAGGCTTGGAAGCGCCGCTCGGCCGAGACGCCCAACCAGAAACTGCCTGGTTTGGACCACTTCTCACAAGAGCAGATGTTCTTCGTCAGCTACAGCAACTGGTGGTGTGGCAAGACTCGTAAGGATACTGCCATCAACCGTGTGTACACCGATCCTCATGCGCCTAAGTGGGCACGTATTCTGGGTACCATGGCGAACTCGAGGGAGTTCAGGGAGAGCTTCCAGTGCAAGGTCAAAGAGCCCACCTGCCAACTTTGGTAGATGCTTGCGGTTTGGCATGTATTGGCTTGTGCGTGCCACCATACTTCCAACATCACAGTAGTTTGCTGTCATGTTAATGTCACATGATGCTTAGTAATTACTACACTTCATGTATACTCTACAATGCAGTATTATGCCTGCAGCGCCAACTCGTACTTACCCGGCTTAAGCGCTATTCTCAGCCCCTTCCTCTCTACTTCATACCCATCGTTCCCTAGCCTTCTCACAATAACACTACTCTCTTCTTTCGGCAACAGCAAATACCCCGTCGTACTAGTAGGCACACTGACCTCCATCTTCACCTCCTCGCCCCCAGCACCATCATCCCTCCTGTCATACCTAACCTCAATCATCCCATACGGACACTCCACCTTCCCCTCCACCACCCCAAACTCACTCCCCAACGGCGGCCTAACCCTCCACGTCCTATACGCCTCCGTCTCGGCCTTAACCCCCAACACTCCCTCATAAAACCACTCATATATCGTGCCGAGCATATCATGACACTTGCTCCTACAACTGTCCTGCCAGAACTCATTCAACGTCGTTTCTCCCCGCCTTATAAAGCGCATGTAACTAGGATGTTCTTCCTGCCGCGCCATTTCCAGGATTATGTCTGGCCGATTTAGGTCGGAGAGTGTGTTGAAGAGGTATTTCAGACCGATCTCGCCGGCTTGGATGCGATTGTTGGCGGTGGCGCAGTCGGCGAGGAACGCGGTTTGGATGTCGGTGATGTGGGCCGCGGGAACGAGGTCGAATTGGAGGGCGAAGGCTTGGGCGACCATGTTGCGGTCGTGGTTTGGGGGGTTGTCGCGGGATGTGTAGAAGGCGTAGGGATATTCTTTCTTATCCGTGATGAGGAGCCGCTCGTTGTATACGCGGTAGATGCGGTCAGCCCACTCGCGGAACCGTTGTTCGGCATCTGGTTTGCCCAGCTCGTGCGCCATGCGTTGGATGTTGCGTAGGCAGCGGTAGTAAATCGCTGTTTCGATGTTGGCTTGGTTGTTGCCGAAGGCGATGTCGCGACCCCAGTCGCCTAGGCCGTGCTCGATGAGTCCGCCGTCTCGCTCTTTGGTCTTAATGTATTCCATGTAGCGGACGCAGGGGTTGAATAGCTTCTCGAAGACGTGGGTGGAGTCGTAGTAGAAGCGCAGTATCTCGGGTAGTAATGCGATGGCGCCGCCCCAGGTGATTGTGTCGTGTAGAGGGCCGCACATGTATCTGATCTCAGGTGCCATGGTCGGGCAAAGACCATTTGGTTCTTGCGCGTCGACGATGTCATCGAGGATCTTGGAGTAGAGTGACTCCATGTCGCGGATATACTGGGTCGCGGGTGCAAGAAGATGTGTTACTTCGAGCCAACCAAACTTCTCTAACTGAGGGCAGTCGGTGTGGTAGCTGAAAAGGTTGCTGACAAAAGACCAGTAGCACATATCGATGAGCTGATTGACATCTTCCTTATCCGTCTTCACAGATCCGAGACGGCGTGCGGCAGAGGATACGTGCCTGCTGACCAGTGAGCGGACTACTGGTAGCCCTTGGCCTTCTTCAAGCGAGACACCCTCGACCTGGATGTAGCGCGCACTCGTGAAGCAGAAATCCGGCTCCCATGTTTCGACTCCCGTACCAGCGAGAGTGAACTTGCAGAATACGCCCGTCTCGAACTGCTTGAAGAGTGGATCAGGCATGAGTACCTTACCATCCTCACCAATCGTCTCGGAGAAACGAACAATGACTTCTGACCCCGCTGACCCGCTGACATGAATCTTCACCATGGTCGTCATGTTCTGTCCAAAGTCAAACATAACGACACCAGGTTCAACAGTCTTCTTCGACCGCGGTTCGAATGTCTCATGCAATACAACGGGTGGTTGACTTTGGTACTTCAGTTTCCCCCTTGGACCTGTCACGGGCGTCGCAGACTTCCATTGCTCATCCTCTTGGAAGCCCGGCGCATCCCAACCGGTAGGATAGGCGCGCAAGTCTTTGGTTTCGGAAGAGTAGATATTGGCTAGTGTGGTCGCACTCTTACGGATACTCCAATCTGGGCCTGTGGTGATGATCTCGTGGCTACGGTCGGGGTAGAACAGGTGTAGCTCCATGAAGAAGCAAAGCTCATTGCCGTATCGAACGTATGTGTTGTCCTCGTAGCATGGCCAGAAGAAACGGTCGTCGCCCTGGTCACCCGCGTAGAAGCCATTGCCGATATGTGCGCCTAGTACGTTCTCGCCCTGCGTCAGTATTTTGGACAGGTCATATGCGACAAATTGCACCGTGCGATGGTAGTTCGTCCACCCAGGATCTAGGACATGGCTGTTCGCCGCCGCAGGATCGCCATTACACACGAAGTTGAAATGGCCAAGACCCGATGCGAACGCAATGGCACGAGACGGCTTCCTGTCAAGATGTAGCGCCTTGCGTACATATAGCGGCTTGTCTCCATTATCGCCGATCCAGACGCCCTTCCATCGATTCGGCTCATCTTCAAACCATGTACGGAAGATGAGGCTGGTGTGTGGCATGTAGGTCTGGTTCATGCTGTATGGTGGCAGTAATCCGGAACATCTGGGGTATGCAGTGAAGAACTCGTTTGCTTTGCCCACAGTGACAGTACCATCAGAATCCCATACTGTGACCCTCCAGTAGTGGAAGGCTGCCGATTCGAAACCTCCATCAGGTGCACAGAGTACATTACGCTGCCTATTGCTTTCCACCCGTCCAGAGGTCCATACTAGTTTGTCCCATATTGTTGGTGACGTAAAGACTTCAACACTATATGCTGTTTGTTGGCTGTCTTCGCGATCTGAATGGAGAACCCAAAAGAAGCGGATTTTGTCTGTGTCGATGCCGAGCGCCTCGTGGAAACCGTGTATTCCGCATCGCGTGACTTCGAGGACCATACTGGTCGATCGCGGAATTGAGATGGCTTGCGGTCGGAAGGTTGGCTTGCTTGAGCAACCACAATGTCATGCAGCGTAGAATATCGGAAAGGTGGAGGTTTGGTGGCTGTTACGATGAGAGCATTCAACTAGTCATTTACATCCCCAACTCATCAGTCAGAGTACGCGTCGTGACAAGATGTTACGAGGTTCGGGTGAATTGGCTGCGAGACTACCCAACGATAGCCTGTTAGGCGTGACATGAGTGTTTGACTGGGTCTTGTCCCGACGTGGTCCCGAAGTGGAGATACGCCTCCGGCAGTCTGATTCGTTGCCGAGCGCGAACGCGGGGACCCCACCAAGACATTGCAGCTTGGCTTGCAACTCGATCTTAACTCCCGACTCGTGGCGCAGGTCCTTGCCGTTCTTCGTAATCCTTCTCCGAGAATTTAACTGTTGACGAGCACAACTTCTGGTACTATGGCGAAAGCTAGACATAGTGATTGTATCTCACAACAATAGGGTTGAGGTACGGAAGTCGAGGTATTTGATACAACCATGTAAGACGCAGCATCTTGGGATTGCTTAGGAACTTCTGCGAGATACGTGCTGTTGTTCCATCTAGCCCGAGCTTTCGCGACGGCAGTAGAGCATGACAAGCATTCTGGGCCCCTTGTACAGTCTGCATGATCCGTGCATGGACACATGCGCGTGTCAGCCAATGCTGGCTTCGGGGTAGCAGATTCCCGGGTAGCAATGGTCGCAAAATGGAACGATAGTCCGTTGATACATAAACCGTGGTGTCGCATAGCGATAGATCCACTTCCCCACACAGTATCTCACATCGTTGCTCAAGATGGGAGTCGCTGTCACGGTCTTCAGCGCAATCTTTCTGGCAACTGGAGGTACGATTTCTACCTGACAAGCGCACCAGCTCACAAGATCTGTACTGATTCATGCGCAGGTTTCCTTTTCGGATATGATTCTGGTATCATCACCTCGACCATCGCCCTTCCTACCTTCAAAGAGTACTTCAACGACCCTTCGGACGATGTCGTTGGTGGTATTGTGTCCGCCTTTCAAGGTGGTGCCATCGCCGGGACCATCTTCAACATGCTATTCGCGGATATGCTAGGCCGGCGCTGGACTATCTTCGTAGGATCGGTCATCTCCATCTTGGGCAGTTCTCTTCAAGCAGGCGCTGTGAACATGGCTATGCTTATCGTTGGCCGCTTCATCGGCGGAGTCGCTGTGGGTCAGCTCACTTCGACTATCCCCATGTATGCTGGTGAGCTTTCCGAGGCAAAGTATCGTGGCACACTCTCGGGTTTGTTGCAGTGGATGTTGAGCTGGGGATTCTTTGTCGCTCAATGGCTCGGCTATGGTTGCTCTTTCAACAGCACTCAGTTCTCATGTGAGTCGACTTGGACATGAGTTGCGGTCTCGCCATACTAATGTGTCTCAGGGCGCTTCCCTCTCGCATTCCAGAATCTGCCTGGTCTCGTCTTGCTTGCTGGCATTTTCTTCCTGCAAGAGTCTCCCCGTTGGCTCATGGAGAAAGATCGACATGAAGACGCCATGGCCTCGCTCAGTAAGCTCCGAAGAGGCCACGATGCTGAGACAATCGATCTCGAATTTCGCGAAATCCGTGATGTCATCATCGCAGACCGCGCTCTGGGCAACATCAGTTGGCTCTCAATCATTACGAAAACCTCATGGCGCAAGCGTCTCTTGCTGGGTTGTGGTGTGCAAGCATTCGGTCCGCTTTCCGGTATCAACGTTATCAACTACTATGGCCCACGCATCTACGAGATCCTTGGGATATCGACACAAGAATCGCTCATGATTATCGGTATCAGCGGCGCCCTCTCAATCGTGTGGTGTACTATCGGACTGGCACTAGTCGACAAATTTGGACGTATCAAGCCCCTTCTCATATCGGCAGCGGGCCTAGCAGCTGCCTTGCTCGTCAACGCCGTACAAGGGCAATACTTCGACCCCAACAATGGCGCGCAGCTGCGCAGTATGGTGGCCATGAACTTCCTCTTCTCCTTCTTTTACACCCCTCTTGGTATCATATCCTGGGTTTACCCTGCGGAAATCTTCCCCATCGAATGCCGCGCCCTTGGTAACGCCATCACAACCTTCACGAACTGGGTCGTTAACCTCATCTTCGCTCAGTTCTCCCCCCAGGCACTCAGCACGATTGAGTTCAAGTACTTTTATGTCTTCTTCTGCTTCAACATTATTGCCTTCTTGTGCTATTGGTTCTTCTATCCGGAAACCAAGGGTAAGACCTTGGAGCAGATGGACGAGCTATTTGGCGATCAGTTGGTACCGCATGCATTGCAAGATCCGGCAGCGGCATCGGCGGCTATGGAAAAGGATGAGAAGCTTCATGCGGAGATCGCAGTCGTCTGATTGCGATTCGGTGCGGCCGGTGTTGGCTTTGAGCAGGAGGTATGTCAGAGGGAAGCTGCAGGTGGCGTTGTTGGAAGATTAACATGTGATACGTGCGCGGTGTCTATAGCGACTTATTACCAGATATATGATCTGTATGATCTGTGACCTTCCGAAACTGCCAATGTGACGTAGACGGACAGAATGTTTGAGCATAGTAGTGCCTCGTGAGAGAAACAATAACAATTGGCTTGGCGCAGGCAGGATGTCGATGCAGCAAGGCGGAAAGCAGCCGGGACAAGCTAGTACATGAGAGGAAAGGCGCTGCGCATCATTGATCTCAGGAGGTGCACGTACCAGGGGACTGGTCGAACGAACTTTCCCCAGCCCCCAACGAAGCTCACACGCTACATCTAATCGTCGCTATGCGGGGCTTCTTGATCTTCTCCAACAGCTCGAAGTGTTCTGCCATGTCAGCCGCGCAACTAGGTATAAGACACCGACCAACACGGGTTACCCTCCACCATCCCAGCCATCTGAGCATCCATCAAATGTAGCAGTACCATGGCGAAATTACGACATGCCCTCTTGCCAACTGGATGATATGAAGGCATTCAATGCACTCTAACAGACGAGAGAACAAAAGCTAGATATTCTTCATGAAAGAGTTCTCTCGGAAAGCTTACCACAACACGAATTAACCGCTTAGAGTCCGTCAACTATCATACCAGAACGACACTGGTTTTCAGCCTCTCGCCACTCTCAGTAGAGGTCCAATATGTTCATCGGGCGAATAGAAGAATATTCATCAGGGAAAAGGTGAAGCATATCTTGTCCCAGAAGACGCAGACGCGAAAAGATCGATGCAACCCATATATCCTGCGTGGGCACAGCGCTGCATCAAATGGCGAGCTTGTCGGAACTTGCGCTCTTCACAGTATGGCCACTTGCGTCTCCCAACTCGAAGTACGGATCTTCTTTCCATTTTATTTTCTTCGTCACCTCCGTGATGACCACATCATCAAAGGTCCTGATCAACTCGTGACTCGTGGCAGCAGTGACGATAACACTCCCCGTGACGCTTGCTAGCATTGCATCGCAAGTTGTCGTGAGCCTCTCTACGCAGCGCGGGCTCTAGGCACCCGCGGGTTTCAGTCTAGTATGAGTAACACGGATCTTGCAGGGCTTCTCCCCTGTACTCAGGACTGGGGTACAACCCAAAAGTAGAGATAAGGGGATTTGTGTGTGGCGACTCTCGCCGTTTCCAGCTCAATGAAGGCGTCTTGCGCACTTGGCTGAAAAACTCCGCTCCTCATATAAACCCTCTCTCTCTCTCTCTCTCTCTCTCTCTCTCTCTCTCTCTCTCTCTTGTGTTGTAAGCTCAACTACATAACGTTTAGTCAATAGCGTTTCCGACTTACTAGAAGCCTGTCGCATATCTAGATCCTAAGCCTAACTATTTGTTGTTACCCTTACACCTCTTTCCCGAAGTCATAAGGAAATCTCTTCAACGGTCATCAGGCCCGGAAGCTTCCTTTCGAGCTCAAAACCTCCGGCCCATCCTTGAGGGCGAAACCACAACATCATTGCTACTGGCGATATCCATCCTCGAGATCCAAACCAGACGCCCTCCCAACGAAGTTCTGTAAATCACAGCAAAGCAAATTCGTCCATATTGCTGCACGTACGCGTTTTAGCCTCGATGTCTTCTTCCAACAGGCCCGGACGACTTCGAGAGATAGCTAGCAGCTCTGGCTCCGAGTTAGTCAGACCACAACGTCGGAAGCCTTTGCATGCAACCAGCTCCAAACACAACGAACGTCGGAAAGGAGATCTCGACAACCGCCCCTCTGATCGCCAAGCGGACGCCGGCGATGTGTCTCTCGATCACCTCATACATCCCCACGAATACGTGGACTATAGGCCAGTTCTTCGTTCGGATCGCATAGCTCATCAAACTCGAGCAAGAACTCGCTTGGTACTAAAGGATCGAGACTTCCAATCGGATGAGGTATCTATACCTTTGTCCAAGGGATCATCTTTACCTTATATGGAGTCCGTCGACCACTTCGAGACTATCCGCGCAGGTTCTCATGCAATTACTGCACTTCGAAAGCACATTTCCGCCGCTCTCCTTGCAAGGCATCCCGATTTGAGCGATATGGAGTTCTCAAGACATAGCAAGCCGTCGTCTATAGCGAATCTGCGCTTGGTACTTGGAACCTACACTGACAGGTCCATAAAGAACTGGGGCAACCCTGTGTATGCGTACCTCAGTCCGAATGCGAATTCCTCAATCGGCCCCAAGTTCATCATGGAGGTCAATGAAAGACACGGACATGGAGGACATGACGTTGTGGAAGTGACATGGTATGAGGCTGTATTTGAGCAGAGGGTTGCAACTAAACTCCCCTTCAAACAAGCTGCAACGAAAGACGAACTGTATGCCGCGGTCAAGTATTACTTCTTATTGGCGGTGGAGGCGGGAGTGGAGGCCTTTCATCATGACTTCATACCATTGAACAGGTCTTTTGTCCAGCACCTGACCAGCTTGTGCCTACATTATGTACCAGATCTTCGGACACCGACGCCTTCTACTGAGGGATATACATACGATGAGAAGCCACCTCCACAATATCCCACGAAGTTTGATCGACGGCGTCCCCCAGGCTATGAGAAAGAGCCGGGTGTAGCAAAGGTCCAGCAATTTTCGCACGTCAGCATGGACGCGTCCGAATCTTACCCAGACAAGAGCGACAACGGCAGTGCAGACGACGAGTCTTCCAGTCTGCAGCGGTCCAGATACGAGAAGCAAGCTTCTCGAACGCCAGGCTTCGCAGCGGAGACGTCTTTGCATATCTCAGCTCAACGGCGGCGCAAACCTATCACTGCTTTCTTACACAACGATCGATCAGCCCTACCACGTCTCCGCAGTCAGCGCAAAGAAGTTTCAGCTTGCAGCTCGACTTACCCGTGCAATGCCATCTCTTCGTGGTTGGGAACAATGACTGAAGAGCTAAAATCGCATCCGAATGCTCCGCCTACCAAGGCGCGATCAGGCAAAAGGTGCGAGTTGAAGAGCAACCAATCCGCGCCGGGTGCTATCGATTGGCGCTGCGAGGATTGTCGCCGCAAAGCTCGGTGTACTCTGGCTGCGAAGATATTGATCATTTTTCAAACCGTGACCAGGGCAGCCTGTTGAGTGGTACACTCAACTCCGTTTACTCGTTTTCGGATCAACACGCCTCGAAGCCCGATGGAGAACGCGTGACGTTGACGCACATCGCGATGACAGAGCCAAGCCCTGATAAACATCGTCGCGATATAGAGTGGAGAACGTTCCGTACTGCGACTGCTTCTCTTCTAGGAGTGGAAAAAGACCGTCGTGAGCGCCGCACATCGAGGAAAGCAGAGCGGTCTCGCAATCCAATCGCCAACCGCCGTTCCGGCTCGACCTTTGATCGAGTCATGTCGCCTTCCCTTCTAAAGCGTCAAAAGAAGGTCATCGATAGTCGCATCGAAAAGACACTTCATGACATCAAGGATCACTACATCCGACTGCAGAAGCTTCGACAGCTTCAAGCAAGTGTCGAGGCGGAGATGGTAGAAGCGAAGCGCCTTGAAGAGAAGGAGAATCGGTTTGAAGGCGAGGAGATGATGCGCCGGAAGGACGAGGAGGAGGGCGCCGACGATAGCAATAAGTCGAGGTTTATGAGATCTTTGGAGAAACAACAGTATTCGTATAAAAAGAGTGGCCTCTGAGTCGATGTAAGGGAGGTTCATTGGGGTCGTACGAGACATTACTTTTCAAGATGGCGAGAGAACGGGTGCAGCAGTTGCGGTCTTTGGCTTTCTCAAACATCACGCTGTAGTCAATCTGATACGATATGCATAACTACTAGCAACGTAACATGTGCTTGATACAAATTTCCCCCAGTCATCATCCCGTCTTCACGGCGTCTTTGCAACTTAGCGCGCCCGCGTCGAGCGTTTGCTTACCTATACAGGCAACCTACGTCACGTAAACAGAACGCGTCCATCAAAACAACGAACCGCACCAATTATTGTTGCAGCATACACGTACTTGAACGTAAGATCCACACAACCAACCCACCTGTTGTAGTTTTCCAGGCCTACAGACCCAAACCGATCTCATCACAGACTACACCGCGTATTCGGTAACGACGCCCAAGATGTCTGTCGCTAAGGCCAACCTAGCCCAGCTCTACACGGAAATCGGGGCTAGCTTGATCGACCACGCACCCTACGACCAGATAGTCACCTCCCCGCAGTATTATGATTCTCGCGCTATATCCTTCAAGATGCTGTTTGGCTTCATTATCGACAAGCGCAGCAATAAGCAGCAACACATCTGGGTGCTTCTTTACCCACCAACCAAGGAAGGACGGCATGCTGAAGTTCAGTTTCACTCCTTCCATCCCGATACGGGGGCTTTCGTCAAGTATGACGATAGCAACATCAGCACTACGGTCTCCGCACTCGCCGACGCGTTCCGCAACCCCAAGAAAGCAGCGAAAGGAAAGCACGTAGCGCTGGCGAAGTACTATTATCTGGAGGCCCTTGTCGCGAGGGAGGCCAAGACGGGAAGCGCCGAGCTGGTGATAGCCATACCGGTTAATCGGACTTTTATCGACAGTATGAGGGTTGTTTGTAACGAATTCAAGGAGGAAGCGAACGAGAGGTCGGCGCACATGCGCTCACCATCAGCGACACTTGTGGAGGACGATGACGGTGTCCTCAGCGATTTCCCAGAAGACCTATCCGAGCCCACTCAGCAGTCTGTAGAGCCGAGCTCGACAATCACGCCCGAGACCTCTCCCGCTCCCGTAAGTAGCCCGATACTTTTGCTTTCAATCAATACTAACTTCATCAGACTCTCAAGGACAACTCCCGGCGACTCGATACCCTTCTCGCGGTGCGCGAAGACGAACTTCAGCTCCAGAGTTCCATGAACGCTCTGGAAAGCGAGCAAACAGCGTTGGATATCGCGCGCGGAGAGATAGAAGGAGAACAGCAGCGGTTGGAACAGCGGCGCCGCGTCAATGAAGAAAAGCAGGCCGACATAAATGCTCGCCGCGAACAAGCATTCAATGGAATGAGCTTATTGGATGCATTCAAGTTAGGTGTGGAGATGGAGCGCGAAGGGAAGCGCCGAAAGCTCGGTTAGAGTCGCTTGATGAAGGTCTCGGCGTCTTGTATTATCAGTTGTACAACTGAACAATTGGGCAGCAAAGCCTTCCCTGAAGGCTACGCAGTGTCTTACTTGTATAGTTTGTAAATCTTAATGTACTGTATACTTCGAAGGTACCAGTTTAGCAGCAAGTACTAATGAGACAATAAAGAGCGCCCTCGTGGTGAACATCAAACATTGCAGGCGCCTGTAATGATAATGAAAACCAGCAGTTGTCTTAGAGTAGAGAAGATACGCACATACCTTTTTTGTAGTGTCGAGCCTCGAGAGGCGTTGATCCATCTGATAGCAAGAGATCGATCTAGCATGTAGTGAATAATCCAGAAGCAACTAAAACACTCACGTAATTAGCGCATCCCTCCGCGTATATGACTACTTCTCTTGATCCCTACAATAGGCACCTCTTTCGCGTGACTTCGAATCTATCCAAGACATCAGGAGTCTCGCCATCATGTTCGCCAGGTCACCTCAACCTGACGACAGCCCTTCCTACGCGAAACTCAAGCGTGACCTCGGCGACGACGCGCCTCTCCTCAACTTTCTGCCCTACAAGCGCGCCACTTTTGAGCCACAGAATGAGATCGCCGAAGCAGCGCCCGAGCGACTCCTCTACGGCGATATGATGGAGAGCAAGGGTTCGCTCTGGATCTACTGGACCCTCAACTACCACAACAAGAAGAAGAGCCACCACGACTACCGGATGATAACCTTCCAGACTATCGAAGGCGCCAAGAACCATGAGGCGGGCGTGCGCCCGGGCTCAGTCCAGAACGTCGCACTGGCGTCATGGCCGTTCAAGCATGCAAAAGACCACGATGCGCTCGCAGCTATCGCGAAGTACTTGTTTATCCGTAAAGGTATCGATATGCAACTGCAATTTCCGGTGTCCTCTGGCCCGTTCAGAGAGGCCCTTATGCGCGTCTGTCAGCATTACAAAGCCATATACAACGAGACGCAAGCCAACAAGGCAGCAAGCCGGCGTGCATCAGTGATGCCTACTGGAGGTCACCACGAGATGGCTAATCAGCAATTTCAAGACCCACGAGAACCTTCTTCCGCGGCTTCGTTGGCCCCATCCCAAGCTCATTCTCCAGCGCCCTCTCAAAGCCTTTTCCAACCTCTGTTCCGTGACCCATCAAGACCGGTGTCGCGCGGGCCACCCCGGCCCAGGAGTATGAGCAGTATGGACACTCGCAAGCGCCGACACAGTTCGGGTCCAGATCACCACCCTGAGCCTGAGTCAGAAAGGCGCGGCGCCCATCATGAGGAATCTAGCAACTTCTCATCGTACTCCCGGCCACCTTCCCCGTTCCTCGCGGCTGTTCAGCCTCCCCTTGACGGGCGCCCTGAAGATGAAGAGATGCGAGGCCTTCCTGTTAGCAACAACAACAAACCAAATCTGGAACAACCAGCCGGTGTTGTGCGCCCGGGCGACGTCGATCGTGAAACGATGATGGATCAATACATTGCGCTCAAAGCCCGGGAAGAAGAGCTTGACGGTAGGATCAGTGATATGGAGACGGAGCGTGTACGTATTGCGGACCAAGTAACAGGGCTGCAAGCGGACATCAACGCGATCGGTAACCGAAAGGGCGACCTAGAAGAAGAGAAAGGTCGTGTGCGGGCGGAGAAGAAGCAGCTGCAGATTCAGCTAGATAAAGACGAACATCTGGACTTTGGATTTGAAGCTGGACGAAGGATGGAGACTAAGCGTCAAAGGCGGGAGTAGTCTCTGGAAGGCACTGACCTAACACCGACGCACTGCTTGGAGGCGTTGATAACTATACGCTTGATGGTTGGTTAGAGAAGTGGCGGGGTTAGATCCTGCGTTCTTTATACATGACCTGGGAGGAGCAAGGGGATGACTAGCTGCAGATGGACATGGAGGATAGCTCAAGTTACCAGTAGAGGCGAATTGATCATGTATATTGAAGTGGAACCGGTGAAAGATGGAGTTTCTGCAACAATTCCGATGTTTTGAGATAGAACAATCGAAAACATGTCTAGGGAAAGGGGGAGAACCTGAATGAGCTGTGAATTGAGTTTTAGGAGTGCAGAATTCGCTAGGGACCTCATCAAGCACCACGCCGCATGACGTAAGCACTACAATTATCCAATAGTTAAAACTCTTGACTCTCCAACGTAAATTCGCGTCGCGTCCTCGCGGTCGAATAGCCTAGAGTATCGCGCTATCAACAATTTCTTCCTTGAAGATTATCAAGGCGTCGCAGTACCCGTCTGTACCGATAGCGACGCCTACAGGTCATTACTGTTCTCCGCAAAAACAAATCATGCAGTGAAGAGTAGAAGTGGAGCTGGAGCTGGAAGAGTAAAAGTGAGTGTTGGCGTTGTATTTGATCACATGCATTATGGCACGCCTCTTTTGAACGCACCACCGTGGGGAATACAATACAATGACTGCCTGAGTACAGCAGCCAGTAGAGACTTTGTAGTCTGCAAACGTCGTAATGCCGCTGCCATCACTGTACCAAGACCTTCCAAAGGACCCACTAACGCCGCTCCAAGCACACGAGGCGCACGAGTATAGCGCGCACTAGTCTTCCTCTCCGCTATCGCTCTCAGACTTCATACCCTTCTTTGCCCGCTCCGACGCTCTCTTCACCATCTCACCTCCAAGAACGAAGATATCGCGCTCCTTCTGGGTGAGTGACGACCGAAGATGCTTCATCTCGATTCCAAGGTGTCGATTCTCTTCCTTCAGCTTCCGACCCTCCACCTTTAGATCGGCCATCTTAGTTTCAAGAGCCTCGATCTTGCCCCTTAAGTCTTTCTGGTTTTCCTTGTTCAACATGAGATTTTCCTTGCACCTGGTCTTTCTGTCGATGGCTTTACGATAATCGTTGGGGAAGTCGATGGACGATTGGGAGTTGGGGCTCTTCTCGATCTGGTAGCCTGTTAGTATACAAGGGGTTCTAGATGATCAGATGAAACCTACGAGGACATCTGTAGACTCCCGGCGTGTTGATGAAGCACGCGAAGTATCCATAGCGTCGCTGTTGTCTGCCTCAACAGAGTCCGAGTGGATGAGGAAACCTTGACCTTTGTCGACCATTGCTGAGGAAGAGGGTTGTACTGTAGCTGCCGGAGGATTCGATCGCAGTGGTGGTGTACTTGTAGTCACTCGCTTCCTGGGTAGATCTGGAGTCATCGTGCGGGCCCTCTTGAGAGGACCTTCGGGGATGAACAAGCTCGGTCCTGCCTGTACCGCGGGAATCATAGACACTATGGGAGCGCGCTGCGAGGTGATTTGCGGAGTACGCCTAGCCTTGGCCACTTTGACGGAGGAACTGGCCGCTGCCGCCATCACCGCAGATTCTCCAGCCACTTTACATGCCGCAGTCAGCGAAGTGATGAAGTGATCACCGACTATCCACGGTACTGGCGTAACGACTTTCATGAAGATGAAGTAGTACTTGATCACAGCGCGTAGCTGGTCCATATCGATGACGCCCGCTCTCTTGAGGAACCTAAACGCACTTGCCGCACCAGTTTGCCTGAAAAGGTCAGTACACGTTCCGCAATAGCTCGGACAGAGAATGGACCAACCTCACCGCGTCATCTGCGCTCATAGCCCCGCGGAGCTTACCGAGACGGTCGAAGATGTTGAAGCGTTGGTGGGGTGAGCGGCCAGCAGCGTGGTCGTTCTGCAGTAGAATCCACACCTCGGAATCTTTCTCCTTCCCGTCCTTGATAGTGCCGAAGAACATACGAAACGGCATCATGTTTGGACGCTCGCTCTTGGGGTCATCGAATGCGACAAGCCGGACCTTGGCGACCGGGAGATGATGGGTAGCTGGAACGACGGTTTGGGTTGCGGCAAGGGCCGTATCGGCCGCACCAACTTGGTTCCCCATAGTCGTTGGAGTAGGTGCTCTTGGTGTATTTAGGGTAGCTGGGTCTGTCGTCGCGTCTTGTTTTGTGTTGATCGCGGCGTTTGTAGTGTATGGATGGGGTTAGCGTGGCACTAGCGCGCTTGGATGGAGAAGGTGCAGCCTAGCCACGAGATACCCGGGAGGTGTTCGCTGTATTAAAGTTGAGAAATTCTTTCTGTAAGCGACAGTGAATCCCTCCTGGGTATGGTTGGTCTCAATGCAACTTGTGGAACCCGAAGTGTCAGTACCTAAGTGCAAGGGCATCGTGTTAGGTAATATTCTAGCTGCTGCTGTCAGCGCGATCAGCTCTCCAAACCAACTACATAAAGAAGGGTCTTCTATACCTCCTTACAGCGTGTAATTTGAGAGGCCTGATCTGTGCGTCAATCATACCACTAGCGTTGAGTCGGCTCTGATTTTGCATTTGTTCTCGCCCTCCCGAATATCAAGGTTCAGCAATATTACCGTATCGCCTGTCAATGGCAACTGCAAAGGAGACCCAAGCGACGCTGCCCCTAATATGGCAACGCCGCGTCAACAAGCTGAACGCCACACTGGTTCGCCGCGACTTGTTTACAGTGATAGAGGAAGTGCTCTTTCCTGCTACATCCACATTCGAGCAGGCAAGTTTACAAGAACGTAAGGCTTTGAGACTCTCTCTCGGGGACCGAAAGCAGAGAGATGGGACAACAGTTCCCGTGTGGGCGTACATTATCCTCGACGGCACCGATAGCGAGCCATCTATCATGTTTCGCGAAGAGGTCCAGATTCACTCAATCGGCGCAAATACTATTCGACTATATCCACGATCTGCCTCGTCTCTACTGCGAAAAGCAAATCACCTCAAGTCGCCTTTCTGCTTTCTACATCAAGAAACAGATGAAGGTGTCAAGGATGGGCGTGGCATGCTATGCGCAGTCATCGCCTACTATGCGCTGATAGCAGGATTGAGCGACTGTGCTATCCGATGGCGCCGATTTGACGGCTGTATGATTGCCGCCCTGGACTACATCAATGTCACCCTAGGATGGCTGCGCGAAATTTCGAGAAAGTCATCGCGCACGACCGCCAACGTCATCGCCCCCAAATCACTCGTAGTAAGACTCCCGATAGGCCAAGAGGCTCTTGCAAAGATTACTGGAGTTTCCCCTGGGTTCGAAATTCCAGACAGCGAGGACGAAGAGGACATCATGCTTCTCAATGAAGACATGCAAGAGCAGCCAGACGTCCCGAACATTACGCAGCGACCTGCCCTCGCCGTTCTCGAGGAGTTACCAGACACCGTCGACAGCGTCTTCGGAGACGACGTCGCCAGCGTCGCAGAAGAAGTCGACAGCGTCATCGGAGATGTCAGCGACAGTATCATTGTGGCAAACAGCAGATCTCAAGTACACGGAAACGAGCAACCATGCTATACTTCGTTGACGATCAAGAGGCGCAAGCTGGAGGATATCACGGCAGGAAGCGATGGCGACGTGGTCGAGGAGATGGATGGGCACGGTTGGCGGCAAGCTTCTTGGGGCCGATCGCGAAGGAAGTAGGGTAGTTGAATTTGAGGAATTAACAGGGTGATACGGAAGTTCACATTGTATAGTAGAGTGTTGAGGTGTCGTCACTCCGAAGTCAGGATGGCAGCGGCGAAGGCTGGTTATTACATTTCCCGCGCTATTGCCGGCCGTTGGAGCTAAATTTATCATGAGCTAGCGCAATCTGATGGTTCCCTGGGCATTCTCCATCGAAAACCACTACAACTCGCTCCTCTCACCAGACGTCTCTCTACGCCCTTCCTTGCTGCCATCCAACGCCGCCATCGCCTCATTGCTTGCCTTCAAATGCTCGAACTTTGGTGCATCTTCTCCCAACCCCCATGCAAATACACCACCAAGCGCCTTGTCCCGCATAATAACCTGCATTTTGCGCTTGATAGCTTCAGGCGTATCCCAGGTCCAGAATAGGTTCTCCTTCGAGTCCCAGTAGTAATGTCCACCACCAACTTCGTCATAAACGCCCTTTTCCATTGCACGCTCGTACGACGCGGAGAGCTCTTCAGGAACGGAGTCATGCCATGAGAATGCGCCAGCTTTACCCAAGTCAGCGCCTGTGATGGGATCTTCCATGAGTTCTGTCGCGCAGCCGATGGGGCTGACACTGCATGTTGAATTTGCAGCGGTCTTGTACCATTTGATGTAGAACGCCAGTCCTAAGTTCGCCTTCTCAGGCGGTACACCGGCGTCGAGATACGCGTTGATGGCTTCGAGCGAGTTCTGGATTCCAGTGTGATGCTTTGTTACATTGTCACGGCGGTTGAACATGTCGTATGTCATGATATTCAGGTAGTCGACTGATTCCATGATGGCGGGGATGGTGGAAGGGGTGAAGGCTAGCATGTCGCGTGGTAGACCGGGAACGGCTGCTGAGATGGTCTTTCCAGTTCCTATCGCGGAACGGATTGCTGCTAGTAGCTTGGGGTAAGCATCTATTTCCCAAGCTTTATCGGAGTTAAGATGGCCGGGTGTCTTGTAGTCTTCGCCGTTGCCACCTGGGTATTCCCAATCCATGTCGATGCCTGTTCCGATTAGCAAGTTCCTCCACAGTAAGGATTATAAAATGCAACACACCGTCAGCACCAGTCGCGTCGAGCATAGCTTTCACGTTGCTAGCAAATAGCTTCTGGCTTTCTTCCGTTCTGGCCGCTGTCGAGAAGCCATCCGTGTCTCCCCATCCGCCAATCGCGACTTGGATGATTGTTCCATCAGCGAACTTGGGCCGAACGTCTTCAATGGTGGTGAAGAGCGGCCATTCATCTTGCTCTGGAGTGTTGAAGGTATCAGAACGCATAAAGGCAAGAGCTACATCAGTGATGTTTGACACGAGATTATGTTCTGGTACGACATTATGTTGCCTGAAAACTATCAGCGACATCATTTCATGTAATGGTAGTGTAGTTCTAGCTTTACCCTGTTAGGTACATGATGTACTTCAACCTCGTCGTAGTGGCCGCTGCAGCAGCGAACGTCCAGGCCAGGCAAAGCCATGGCCAAAGATTTGTGACCATCGTTCGTGACTCTCCAAGAAGACAAGATCTCTTCAGAAACAGTAGGATGTGTCGAGCCGTGCTACGGCACCGGTGGCTGGTGGCAGCGGGTCCCGAATATGCCCCGCAACTGACTAGGCCATTCACGGGCTAGCTTATCTGGACGCCGGTCGCAGTGGGCAGTGTCGTCTGGTGTTACACCCGAAGAACTTTGGCCATCGCAACGGCAAAGCCTACGGCTACCCTGGACAGAACCAGTCCAGAGCTCATGGAGCGTCCTGAGCTGATATTTTCTTGTTACCTAGGCATGGCTTGTCCTGTGGCTTGAGATGGGGTGTGCGATTGGCGGGAACAAGCCAAGAGCTTCAGCCTTCCGGTGAGGGTGTCATCCACGCAACTCATCTTCAGCCTGGTCGGTCCGCTCAAGGAAGCCTGCTACTTCTCAGCCTAAATCCCTTCTCCAGTATTTCTTCTACTTTTCTATGGGCGTATATTCACGCAAACGTTACAAAAAGCGCAACCATGTCCACGTCCACGACGGCCGGCTCCCCATCGCCCTACGAAGCTCTCCCTTTATCGCAAGGAGAAATACGGGTTCTGGAGGTTGCGCCCGCAAGTTTCGATGAGCCCGTCGAGTGCACCATGAAACGCGTCTCGCTTGTCGATGATCCGGTGCCAGCCTACGAGACTATCTCGTATTGCTGGGGAGCTCCTCGAGATCCGTCCGCTATAAAGCTCAACGGGCGTCAGATACATGTACCGGCAAACTCCGAGGCTGCTGTTAGGCGCATGCGACTGAGCGACCGACCGCGAGTACTTTGGATCGATGCCATATGTATAGATCAGTCATCGGTGACAGAACGCAGCGCCCAAGTGACGTTTATGACGACCGTTTACAGCGCCGCGGAGCACAACCTCATTTACCTCGGGGAAGATGACGACGATATGGCTGAGAGTGCCGTGAAGGCTCTTGAGGACGTTATGGACGACATGCGCGTCCCGACTGCCGAATTCACCTTACTACACGAAACCGTCAGCAATCACAAAACGGGCACCCAGTTATCCTCAAATGAACCGTTCAGCGCGAGTGTTGACCTCAAAGCTCTCGAGGCTCTTTTGAGTCACCACTGGTTCAGGTAAGACTGCACGCCGACTATCTCACGTCGAATTGAACTGAGCGATTGTAGACGTCTGTGGGTGCTTCAAGAAGCAGTTCTTGCATCATCCAATACCTGCCATTGGGGTACTTATACTTTCGATCTTCTCGATACAGTACGAGCTGCAGCATGGCTCATGTACAGATGTCATTTTATCTCTGATAGTCTTTTCTATTGCGATGGCTTGCATTGTGCCATCGAGATGTTCGAACTTCTCTGCCCCGACCATCGCTTTACTTCGAGGCGCGAATATCTAGCCAGCATGTTCATGACCATTCGACACTTCGAAAAGACCGAGCCAAAAGATAGCATCTTTGCCATTCTGGGCTTACTGGACAAAAACACGTCTCTAGAAAGCAGTCAAGTGGCATTACTTGAGGTTGACTATGTGAAATCGCTTTCTGGCGTATTGCGAGATGCTACACGGTATTCTCTGTGTCAAAAAGGCGATCTACGCGCTTTTAATTTCATCAATCACCGCTTCGATGTGTTGACTGATTGCCAATCGTTTCCGACATGGGCCATTCGCGCGGATCTGCAACAAGAAGTTAGCGACGCTGTAGAGCTACCCTATCATTTCGATGCTGGTGACGGTCTCGAGGCGCCATCTTTACTTGATGATGTTTCGCTTGGCGAAGAAGTAGTGCTTCTCCAAGGAATAGTGGTCGATGAAGTATATCAAACGACCGCCTCGTGCCTAAGAAGTACCTGGGAGAACAAGGAAGAGTTCAACGAGTGGCTGATCTCTGTCAGGGATACAGTTTTGCGCCATTGCAACGTCGCGAGTCAGGAAGAGCTCTTTCTAGCCACGGCCTTCGCTCTTGTGGCTGGCGCCACTTGGGGCGGAAGACGCGCACAGTCGAGTGATCTGCAGGTACTTCTAGATTATTTCAAGAGCTCGACCTCGAACGAAAATGATGCAGCCTTAGATGGCATCAGGATCACGAAAGGCTTGAACTCAGGAAAGATGAAGTTGATATACGAAAATTCCGCCACTTATCTCTGTTCGGACCGCCGTTTCTTCGTTACCGAGAGTGGACGCGTGGGTATAGGGCCTCGTTGCATGCAACCCGGAGACATCGTTGTAGTCCTAAGAGGAGGGAACAAGCCTTTCATCTTGCGAAAGAAAGTCGACGGTTACTGGCTACTTGGCCAGGCTTACGTGCATGGTATAATGGACGGCGAGGCAGTACAAATACACAAGGCTCGGGGCGGATCAGAGGAGGTGTTCCACATACGGTGAAGGCAACGTCTTTCTGCAGGGAAGATCTGGCGGAAGTGCAGCTCTGGTGACATATGCAGATTCGAAGTGAATGCGAGTATGGAGAATGACAGGGGATAGTGAACAATGACTAATGCAACTCTGTCACCAAAGCACCACTCCAGTTCAACAGCTATCCACATATCAAAACAAGCACGCATACCTACAATACCATCACGACAACCCGCGGACCCACACTACAGCGACTAGGATATGCGCAGAGCCCCCAATCCAACGACTAACACCCTACCATCATCTCACACCACCAACATCACTCACCAAACTCCAAGGCTACAACCACGACCACGACAAACAGGCATCACCAACACATCACGCACACCACTCTTTTCATCACAACCAAAGCCACAAAGCACAGCACAATCAAGCACATTATAACACATGTTTTATACATCTCTCACCATACGGTGCTTTCCAACTTTCTGCATTTCCTTATTTTCCACCAACCATACCATACGCCCATTGGGTATCATGAATCCATACCCAGTCCAATCCAACTTAATCCATTCCCATACCATGCTATGCAGTACTTTCGTGTTTGAAGCAGAGAAAACCCCCAAAAAAACGCCCTCGCTATGCATACGTAATCTTTATACAATACACCCCTCCTCTCAATCTCTGACTTCGTTCCTTTTGTCCATGGTGTGGCGCGTGACGCGTAGTTCAACAGTGAAGGGAAGGCCAGGGCACAGGTACGGAAGAATCAGACGACTAATCCGAGAGTTCAATAGCATCGTCTTCCGTCGCACCTGGTCTGCCGTTTGCACAGGGGTCTGCTGCACCGCCGCCTTCGTCACTGCCATTCTCACTACCATCTTCCTCGTCTTCATCTTCGTCCTCATCGTCTTCATCGAAAGACTCTGCGTCCTCATCTTCTTCGATCTCTTCTTCTTCGTTGAGATCGGAGTCTTCGTCGTAATCGAGCAGTTCTTCATCGTCGCCGTCGTGCATCTCCGAGTCGGCGTCTTGGTCTCGGTCGTAGTACTCTTCTCCTTGCTCCTGCTGTTGCTGGTGGGATTGTTGCTGGTAGGGTACAGCCTGGGAAGGATTAAACTGAGCGCTGGGGTAAGATGATGTAGTGCCGAAGTGGCTGTAAGACTGGGCGTCCTCCTCGTTATCGGTTATAATAGCAGTCTCGTCCTGAATATAGTTGTCGATGATGTGTGCGCCGTTGAGTGATGCAGGATCACTAGTGAAGTGCTCTTTCGTGTAGCTCACTGGCTGGGAAGAAGTTTGCTGGACGAAAGAAAGCTGCGTGGGTATCGGTGATGAGATATCCAGAGGCTCTGTGCTGGCGGGTCGGGTGCTGGCAGGTGACTTGCTGAGGCCCTGTTCGATCCTATAAGCGCGAACAGCTTCTGCGCCTTGGCCGTAAAGATGGCGTGGTACGAAGCGGCTCGTGCGTTCCCAGTATGCCGGACGATTCTTGGTGGATGTGCTCGCACGTAGGGTGCTACCGTACGTGGATGCGCCGTGCGTGGACTGTCGGCTCTGAGATACGGAGAGTCCAAGGTTGGGTACGCTGCGACTCCAGTCGTGTTGCACATTTGATGTGGTGGCGGCGGGGGAGGCAAGCCCCCTAGCTCGTGCGATGAGCTGGCTGGCATTTCCGTCAAAGGATCCTGATCGATAGAATGACCTGCCAGGGGTGAACGAAGGCGGTGGCATTTCAGCTCTTGAATCTGCCAGCGTCCGTCGAGCCCTTGCGATGAGATCGTTTGTTGAATCGTTGAATGAAGACCGTCCACTAAACGACATTGCGCCGTTGAAGGATTGAGACGGTGATGTCGTGGATGTTGACCGCCTGCGGGACTCCTTGATGGCCTCAGCACGAGCGCGCTGTTCTTCGAGCATAGTCCTCGGTACAGGTTGCTCATGCTGCTCCAGTGTAGGCGACGCTGGTGACAACTTGGGTCGCTTGGGCTCAATGAGCTTGGGCTTCTCTTCGTCTGACGAACCAAAGTCGAAGCTGCGCTTCCGGTGCTTGCTCGGATCGATGCCCATAGCGCGCAACCTGAACCAATCCGTCTCGGTCCGGTCTACTGGTGCATTCGCAACGGCTTGCTGATATGCCTGGGAGTATGCGGTGATTGATGTGCTGGCGTTGCTTGTGCTCTTTTCAAAGGTAGACTCAGGAGATGGGTTGTTGACCGGCACTGATTTGGCTGAGTTCACACCATTCGTCTCCGTGGTCTGAGCCTGGTGTCGCTGTTGCGTTCGCTTGGCGCGCCGAGAATTCGAAGGTTGCTGAGATACCGATCGCCCCTCTGGTTCTGCTACTGTTGTCGTCTTACCGTTCGATATCGCCTGCTGTACCGGTGCAGGCGCGGCTGCCGGTTCTTCGTCTGGTCCGGCATCCGCCTTTGCCCGCTGCTCCTTCAGTCGCTTCCTCCTCTCTCGTGCCTTCTGTAGTTTCTTCTTCTTTTGCACCGCCAACATCATCTTTGCCAAGCCTGCCCGCTTCAACTCATCCAGATATTTCTTGTGCTTCTGATCTACCATCGCCACTCTCCTCTCCATTTCTACAGTGTTTGCAGCTTCCTTCGCTAAATTCACAACAGCGTTTTCGACGAACTGCATCAGCAATCCCTCTTGGGCGTCGAACATCACATCCGCCGTGAGCGCGTGCAATGCCGAGTCCTTCTCTCGAATCCGTGCTTGCCGCGCCTCCTCCTCTTGTACTTGACGTAGTCTCGCCTGTCGAGCCAACTCTTCTTGCTGCTCGCGTGCTTTTCGCTCTCGATCAGCCTGTTCTTGCCGCTGTCGCGCAGCCGCAGCTTCCGCAGCCTCGGCCTCACGCTTCTGCTCTGCTTCTTTCGCTTGCTTTGCTCGTTGGGCTTCCTGTACACGTTGGCGTGCTTCGTCCAGTTTTCGTTGCTTCTCAGCCGCCTCCTTCTTCACTTGCTCTGCCTGCTGTGCTTCAGATTCTTGTGAAGAAGTGTCCGTCGGAGGTGGTGTTCCTGATGGGGTGAAGGATTGTTGTGGAGTTTCTTGCGAGGGTGTAGCATTGAACGAGGATCCAGTGAAGTTGAAGGCGGGAGCGGGCTTGGGTGTAGTCGTAGCCGCGGGTGCTTCGAAACTCTGGAATGGTGACTGTAGTTGAGTTTGAGGTTTCGGCTGGGGCTGCGCGAACGTTCCTGGTGTAAAGAGGTTTGTTGGAGCCTGTGGTGTTGTAGACTGAGGCTGCGCAGTGTCGTTCTTCAGGAACGGATTTGCGGGAGTCGGTGCAGCTGTTGGGTCCGACTTTGCACCATTGTTGAACTTCAAGAACGGGTTTGCGGCAGTCTGTGGTGTCGTAGATTCTGGCTGCGTAGTGTTGTTTTTCAGGAAAGGATTTGACGACGGTGCAGGTGGTGTCGACTGGAATGAGTTGGTGTCCTTGCGCAGAAATGGATTGGCATTCGCATCTGCCGGCTGCCCAAACTGAATGCTGTTCTTCGAAGGATCGAAAAGGCCAGGCTGGACGGCTCTCGCGAATGGGTTTGGTGTTGTCGCAGAAGTGCCGTTCGACTGAAACGGAGATGAGGTTGCGTTGAAGCTAAAGCCACCAGCAGATGGTGTTGCCTCGGTAGGTTGCTGTCTGAAGACACTGGCGGTCTCTGGAACGAACAACGAGGTCTGATCTTCCATCTGTTGAGCTTGCGCAGCAGACAGACCACCCTTCTTAGCCTCTTGCACAGTCATGCCTGCGATGACAGTCGACAAGGGACGACCACATCGCTTGGCTTCGACGATAGTTGCGGAGAAGAACTGAGGCTTGATGTCTGCCTTGGCGAGGACATTGGCTTTCCTGTCGTAGTGCTTCTGTTTGATGTCCATGAAGCGCTGTCCTGCTTCGTTGAACTCAAAAACAAAACCGTGCGCCTCACAAAACTCCACAGCTTCGTCTTCAGTGTCCATACCGAGTACTTCTCTCAACCTGTCGGTTGTCCAGAACTCGACGGGAACCTGATGCCTGTATAGACCGACTCGGTAGCAACGCCAGACTACGTCAAGCGCAACATGACGGACTCTATTGAAGGATATAGCGGCCGCACATGCCATAAGATATGACACTCGCGGCGACTTGATCAACTCCCAAAACCGCTTCCAATTCGACTGGCATTGTATCCAGTTGTCGTAGTTTCTGTGAATGATGATGGACTTGAGGAGACGGAAGATCTCGAGAGCGGTCTGGACTCGTGGGTTGTTTCGTAGATCGCTAGGCAGACGATGAAGTTCGTTCTCGAGCTGGGTGTTGGCGTAGATAGGGGCCAGAATAAGGCGGTATGCCCAGAACTCGGCCTCGCATTCTGATATGATGTTGGCGCGTCGATTGTCGGCATATCGCTCCTTGAGTGAGATCAGAGTCTGATTCAGCTGCTCGACGTCTTGTTGATGCGAGTAATCGTCCTTCGTACTCCGCGCCATGTGGTGGGCCGACAGCATGTAGAATCGGGCGCTGTACTCGAGCGAGGTGAGTAGTACGGCGATGTCGGCCCTGTTCTCGATACGTTGTGTGCGGAGGTCCTTTCGGACGGCTCGTGTGCGGTCCCAAAGCCATGAGTGGAGGAACTGGAAATCGTCTTCGTCTAGGCGCCCGTACAGGTACCTGAGGGTTTTCTGCGAATATTAAATCACGATCATGTAGAGAGTACTGCTAACTTACCAAGCAGGTGGCTGGCGACCGGATCTCTGAGACCAGCTCCACGTCCATGCCTGCCGCTGAACGCGCGTATGCCTTGACCATGCGCGACTCGTCTGCGATGCGCTGACTACGGGAAGGTAGGTGTTGGGTCTCGGGTGTGCACTCGGGGGCCTTGACGTCCAATTCGACTATGCGACGCACGCGCTCGTATTCCGGGCACATTTCCTGGCAAAGACCGTACAGCTTAACAGAATCGACCAGGCGCATCTGGCCTTCGGGGTTCATGAGGCCATCGCGGACGAACTTCTCGCGGATCTTGGGGCGCTCCGCTTTAATCTGTGCCTGTCAGTACTGACTAAGTGACAAGATATCCGTAGTCCTTACGTGTTGCAGTCGCTTCTGGTATTCGTGGGGCGCAAAGGAATGCGTAGAGTTCCCGCCGAGCGGGTTCGAAGTGGAAGCGTTCCTATAGGTATCGAGTTAGAATAGGCCGCGAGCGGCCATGGAGGCCCTCGTCTAGTATCGATCGCAACGACAGCGGTGGTGTAGTATGCATCCTGGTGATCGCGCCCTCGGTCCGCCCGCGCCCTATGCCGACGTCAGAGGGAGTGTGCCGACTTACGAATTGCTGGAGTCGTTCTTCTGGCGTCCCTGCCCGCCTTTGTAGAGGCCCTGCGCCGGTCGCTCTTCCTGCGCATTGTTTCTGCCGCGTGCGCGATTCGCATTCGAGGGGTTGCCGCCTTTTGGACCGCGTCCTCGATCGCCTCCGCCGGCGCCTCTCCCACCACGCGGTGTCGCCATGGTCGCGACTCTATCACGAGGGTGTTAGTGCGCGATCAGCCAGGGTCAATGGCGAACGCAACAGTGAGGTTCCGGCTGCGGCGAGATATCGGTAATCGGGTCGGTTGCGCTTGTGGCCGAGTCGGGTTGAGTGCGACTGGCGGGCGCTGCGAGAAAGCAACAAAGGCCCATTCGTGTCGCGAACAAGAGAGCCACGGATGAGCTCAGAGCCCGGGCCTGTGACGCGGTCCTAGCGCCTTGGCATACGACGTGTGGCTGGTGCCCGAGTAGCCGCTTCCACTTTCACCCTTCCTTGCAACATCAACATCGCCAACAGCTCAATTCACTCACAACATCACGTTTAGCATTCAAAACCTAGCTGATTCGATATCTGGATTGATATCTAACATATCCGAAATGTGTAACTATCGACGTGCGATACTTACATGTCTGTGTTTTTCCTTTCCTTATTTACCTCTACGTGGGTTCGACCACAATATTGACGGCCACCCATCTCCACCCACTTCTTGAAAGACCAGCTACCCCCCAGATTTTATACAACGCCTTTCAGCAAGAACAGTCCCAAACCTAGGCAATCCGTTCCCTATCCAATTACGTCCTCCACTAGGCAGCCATGAACTTTTGTACCAGCGTCGTTGCAATGCAGTCGTGGGCGGCGTAACGTCGTATGGGTATATCGCAAGACATGGACCATGGAGAATGCAAAACCAAGAAAGTGCACCAAAGCAGATTCCAGCGAGTGTGCCGAGGCATCCAGCATGGGAGGTGCCCAGTCGCTGTGCTGGAACGGAGCTTGACAAATGCGACATGATAGAAGATGAGTAAGGAGATCGTGGCAATCGTGAGTCGTTCCGAAGAAAGAGAAACATGAAGATGAACCGAGACAGAGCCAAGCACGTAAGTAAAACGAAAGAATGCACGCTAAGTTGCAGGCGATTGATGATGAGAGCCTTCCGACTCACAGCCAATGCTGGATAAGTGCGGTAAGCCGTCGAAGAACGATGGGACAAACATGTCATACTCGTAAGGATATCCGGTATTGCTGCTGAACGCGTTACTCTCGCCCTGGTTATAGTACGGTGCGTCGAAGATGGTGAACGGCTGGTGGTATGCAGGTGTGGACACTGGGACTACGTTGGATGAGCCAGGAACCTGTCGAGGCTGCGGGACATGGTGGTAGCCTGAGGGACTGGTACAGTAGTGCGTTGGTTGCCTGCATTGGAAGTCGCTTTGACTGCCGGTCTGGTCATGATACGGAATGTGGTTGGCCACCTTGACGTCTAGATCCATGCCCTCATCTAGATGAAGAGAGTACATCGATTGACCAAAGGAGGTGTTGGGCGTCGTGGTAGAGCTACATGAGTGCATGTGTTGGGGTTGCGACACTTCCGGTCCTCGAATGGGGGCTTGCACTTGCTGTTGGGATGTTTGTGGTCGATGGACCTTCTCCTCCCGTAGCAGGTGCAACTCAGTGGCGGTGTTGTCAACCTCGGTCTCGTTGCCAGACACGTCGGCGTCAAGCTCTATCCTCGGAGGTGGAGTGGCCCTGGCCCGTCGAAAGCGCTTCCTGGGTACGGGTTGCTGGCGGGGCGGTCTCGTCAATGGCTGCCAAGTCACATGCGTGCCTCTACGGGGATCTTGGTTGTTTGTGCCTTCGAAGAGGTTGTAGTTGAAGATGTGATTCTCGTACAGTTGCGCGATGTCGAACAAATTCGGTAGAATCTCGGATAGAGCTCGGCCTTGCATCCGCTCACTGAACCTGGATCCTTTCGACGAGGAGAATTGATCTGGCGGCGTGGTCTCAACGGCATACTGCGCGGCATGTTTGAGCTTAGCGACCCATGGACTCCTACGCTTGGCCTCGTCGATTCTGCGGTGCTGAAGCATGAGATCGACTGCTAGTTTCAGAAGGCCTACAGAGTTTCAGCTGTAACTCACTTTCAGAGGCGGATGCGATAACTTACCCGCCTTGTCCAGATGTGAGGGTTCCTCGTAGGGCACATCGTGGGGCCACCAAGGTGGGGTGCATTCAGGGGACTGCTCATTAGGCAGCTTCTTGTGGTAGGGCCCGTACAGGCTGAGACGCTTAGGCTCCAATTGCTTTACCCAAGCCGTGACGATGGGCCGCACTGGCTTCATGGTGAGCTCATCGAGTCGTCGGTGGAAGAAGCCCATCAACGGCTTCACATCGCCAATGTAGAAGGTGTATGACTTCTGCGTAGCCATAGGGACATCTCTGTCGTCATACTGCTCGTCATCTCCATCCTCGCTGCAATGCTGAGCTGCGCCTTGACGCGATTCTTCTGCACGTGACCGAGTTCTTTTCCGGCTCTTGGGTTGAGTATCTCCAGACTTAGCTGGGCCTGTTAGCGGGGGCGCATACAGAGCAGGCATTCGATCTTACCCGGTACCTGGGCCACGGCAGTCTGGTAGGCTGGCGTAGGGATGCTTTTAGGCGAATCTGCCAGACAGATTACTCCCTGCGACTCTGCAGGGCCGTTGCACAGGTGTTCGAAGCCGCGGATGGGCCCAAAGACGCGTTCTTCGCGGCCCTCAGGCGAGATGACCTTCCAGCAGCCGATAGGTGTAGGGACGGCAACGGCCTCGTCTGGTTCGTCCTGTTTTATGGTGGCTTCGGCAGCGTGCGAGGATGTTGCCTGGAGAAGTCAGCATATGTGCTCGTCGCTATTGCCATCTATGATGCCACGCGCCTGCTGGTTCCGGTTATTTGGACAAAGGCGGCCGCTAGTCGTCGCGCCAGCGGCTCATGTGGAGGGAAGACCCGAAACCTTATCTACAGCGCCCCCCGAAACACAAAAAGAAACTGCACTCACCGACGACTTCTCCCTCACATCACCAGCGTGAACCATTACCCACGCGTTTCCCCCAACTCGGTCTAACGCCATGGCGCCGCCATCGTCCTTCCACATTGGTTGCCGGTCCTTCGCGTAAGGGGCCAATGGGTCCACAGCCCGGAACATCGTCATGGGTAGCTATGGAGCTGCAGCTAGCTCAGCCCGCGAACTGATCGATGGATCGCCTTCGTATCGTATGGGCGTATTTTCCGGTCTTGAAACACCCGAGGGAAGCTCGAAAGTACAAACAGGCTACGCATCGGTCAGTTAGCATCTTATACTCTACAGGAACCATGCCCCTGGAGCAACTGAAGGAGGCAGTACTGCTTGACGAAATGATCAAGATCTACACATGACTAGTCGAGTACAGTTTTGGGGTGCGCACCCTTCGCTTAGCCGATTGCGCTGGCAGTGCTTACCTGAAAAGAGCAAGTTCTAGAGGAACCCCAGTCTTTGGATGAACCCAAGATGCCCCTCTTCCGCTGCAGATCCGAGATAAGTCAGAGCTCGATGTTGAATTGGATGTTAGTGCAAAGCTTCCGCTATATCCAACGACGATAGGAGATACGACTCGTTACGAGCCTCGAGCCACAGTAACAATACCTGGCTAAGGTGGCTAGCTGGAAAAGGCTGGGTGCGGAATCGGAGGAGGGTGGCACACAAGCCTGACCGGTCTTCCGGTGATTGTGTGCCAACGGTGCAAACCCAAAAAGAGGCACGGTCTCAAGGATGCAATGCAAATAACAAGAACGTGATATCAACAGCATCAACAGGACCGAATGTATTTACCGGGCTCTCAGGTTATAAAGCAGGCCTTATTCTGCTACGACAATCGAGCCCTGCACTTGTCGACTCCTATCTACTGCACGTATCCTCACAGCATCCACTCGGCGACGACAGCACCCTGGCCTTTTAGCAAACGAGAGAATACATCGCATGAGCTGGCCGCCCGCGGATGTCGAATCGAGGAATACCGCAGGGTTGAGTGACAGAAGGCCCCATTTAGCCTGCGCGTCTGAATTTGGGCTTGCGGGGACGTCTGCTGCATGGCTCCCACTTCCCCGTCCGCACACTTAGCTTTATCTAGAAGACTTGCCCTCGTTCTCAGTTCATATGATGCCGGAAAGATGACGACTGGTAAACACGGACAGGGGTCCACGTCTCCACAAGGATGTATACACACTAGCGCCAAAGCATGCTGCATAGCGGACACGGGGTCTTCCCGTGGGATTCTATCATGCAAATCAGCAAATCGTATCTAGAGGCCTCGAATCTCCGATGAGTGGTTCTATGGGAGATCTGTTGAGTATTGAACATCTGCACAGTGTCATCGTCACCGTCACATATACCGATATCAAAATCCGAGTATATGTTGGTTATAGACGTGTCAAACCTCAACCCCACCTTTCCACACACCCCACGTGATGACGTGCGCTAGCACACAATTCGACCATGGCGCGTTTCGAAGGACCAAGGATGGCTGGACCTCGCCGTTCATGGGTGCGTTGATCCCTGGGATCGTCTTTCCTTACCATCCTCGCTTACCGCATTTCCGCCAGCCATCGCACGAGGGGAGGCGGAGGAGCAGTGGCGGAGGTAATCTCTAACCTACCCGCATCCCCGAAGCAAAGCTACATAGCCTCGCAAGCAGCCAAAGGGTCTTCGACCGCAATATCCTACGTCCACCTCAGCGCCACGGCCAGACTGGTCTAGAAGATGTCGAAAGGAATCCTTCACGATTGCCTTCGATCTCGCTCAGGTCCGCACCGCTCATTCGCTTACCAGGCTGTTGGCAGGATCCTGGGATCAGTCTGACTCAGTATCCGATCGATCTGACCGTAAGCTCGTCTACAACGAGTTAGACAAAACGTCCATCTCGCTAATGCTTGCGCAACGGTGCAGTGTTGAACGAATCTCTGCACATGACCGCGAGATGCGACTTCCCTCCTGCTGTTCCGCTCTCAATTTGCCACCGCTGAACTGACTCACCGCCAACAATCTACCGTGTCCAAACTAGACCACCGCGACGAGATCACATCGTATCGACTCACCCAAACTAGACCTGGACCCAGACTTCCATCACCTCAAGCGCCACACCGCCCTAGCAAAGCGGAGATAACATGTCACCCCGTTACACAACTTTCTTCTAATACGGCAACGGGCCGCTGGGCTAAGCTAACCTCATACTATCTGCATGCACCCGCCTCGTCCACCGTCCGTTTCAACGCCTCATTAGCCAGTCACACACACCAATTCCCCTTCTCCCCTCTCATTAGTATCCGGCATATATACGCCACCCGCAAGAAGCGGAAGGTGAGGAACCCCGTTTTGTTGTCTACGAATGTCGTGGCACGCACGCTTACCTTCTAAATTGGTTGGGTTCGACTACCTCGTGTTGACCGGGGGGCGAGCGCCGTTTACCCAGGACTGCAGAAGCTTAGACAGCGGATATGAATTCGGGAATGGCGTTTCGTAACGAAGTACTGCGTTGGATGGCCGTGCCGATGTTGTGAAAGCGTGGCGCTGGAATGTAGTTTCGTATCGAAGACACAGGGGTAACGGGCCGCACGCTGGGTTCCGTGCACGAGGACCGGTTGAGGAGGTGGGCATCTGGAACGTCTTGTGGGGTTTGATGTGGTTGGGGTGATGCTGCAGGAAGTTCACCGCCAAATCAAGGCACACAACAGCCACGGTAGTGAAACGATTGCTTCCGATAGTCAAGGCCAGACTGCTTACACTGGGCGATGTGATCGATACAGAGACGTACGTATGATGCAAGACTAAACATCGGTTCGTGGGTCTAAGGATACCTATCTAAGTGACGATCACATGGCCCTGATTACCGAGGTCAGTGTGCGGTTCTCGTAGCCGCGGCCAACGGTTCTTGCTTCCACCTACTCCTAGAGACCAGACTTTGTGAAATAGCGCTGCAATATGTATATCGCGATACACTCTGTACTCCTTACGTCACATGTCATTCTACTGTTCCTAATTGAAGACACGCATCACCCTACATGTCTGTGAATGTCCATAGAGAATCCATGTCTACTGTAAAATCAGCATATGGATAACTGTGTCTTGTCACTGCCCACCCATCATTTTCGCACGGAGGAAAGATAGTCAAGAACAGATGCATGTTAGACCCAGTATTAGAATTTTTATACACGTTCCACACTCAAAATACATCGCCCACCTGCGACTTGATCACTCATCTGCTTCCCCCCTCTACTTACATCACTGCTCAAAGTTCTCTACTTGCCACAACGCCACGCCATGCTATGAAAACGTACAACTCCAGCTTGTGTGTCTCGGAAACATCTTCAAAGAGACTGATGTGCCGACGTTATCTCTCACACTATACTGCTTCCCCCCCTCACGACTGACTCATATCCAACGCATTCAATAACCCCGCCTCCTTAACCAACTCATAAAACAGACCCTTCCGTCTGACCAACTCTGCCGGACTATCAAACTCCTTAACCTCGCCCTTGTCCAGCACGATAATCCTATCCGAATCCAAGATCGTGTTGATGCGATGCGCAATAGTGATGATGGTGCGGTTGTTGAACATGCTAGTGCGGAGTGTAGTTTGCAACATGGCATCTGTTTCGACGTCGACGGCTGCCGTGGCTTCGTCGAGGACGAGGATGTTGGAGGGGGTGAGAAGGGCGCGGGCGAGCGAGACGAGTTGGCGTTGGCCGGAGGAGAGGTTGGAACCGCCTTCGTTGATGGTGGCGTCGAGCTTGCCGGGCATGGAGGAGATGTGGTCTTTTAGGCGGGCGTGGTCTTTGAGAGTGGTTAGTTGCGTGTTGAGTGGGAATGGTGTGGGAAGAGAGCTTACCTAGAACACTCCAGAGTTCGGTGTCGTCGTGAACGTGTCCTGGATCGAGGTTGTCGCGCACGGTGCCTTCGAAAAGCGCTGCATCTTGTGGGATAATGGCTAAGCGTCTGCGGAGGTCGAGTAGACCGATAGTGCTGGTGTTGAGGTTGTCGATGCTTACATTACCCTCCGCAGGCTCAATGATGCGGAATAGCGCGAGAGTCAGTGAACTCTTGCCGGCACCCGTTCGACCAACTACACCAATCTTCTCCTTTGGCTTGATGGAGAGGTTGACGTTCTTCAGCACCAAGTCAAGACCAGGCCGATATCGGGTGCTGTAGTTGTCGAAAGTGACCGCACCCTGCGACGGCCAGCTGATTGGTGGCCTGTTCTTGGAGATGATCTCAGGTGCCTCGCTGGGTAGCGCGGCATACTCAAGCACACGTTCCACAGAAACAATGTTGGTCTCCACTTCAACAGTCTGGCGAACGATCCAGTTGAGACTTTGAGTGATCTGAAGTGCATACGACATGGCCAGACCCACCGTACCAGCCGTTAGGCCGCTGTGGCTGGCGACAGAGATGATAGCGAGACCCGCAGCAGCCAAGATGATGACTGAGCCAAGGAATTCTAGGCGAACAGCCAACCATCGGTTGGCACTAATGGAAGGGTAGTATGCACGCAGATTGGCATCGACACGCCACTCATTCTCCATTTCGAAACGCTTCTGCTGGTTGTACGCGCGGATCGTGCTCATACCGCTGAGACTCTCCTGGAAATGGGCATAGATTGGGCTGCGGCTAACGCTGTCAAGGCGCTTGAGCTCCCGTGATGTGCGCAGGTAATATCGCTGGATGTAAAGGTAGAGCGCGCCGAGCGGCAGGATAAGCGCAACGAAGACCGGGGTCGACCACGAAATGACGACAAGGGTGAAGCCAGCTGCATCAGTCAGTCAGTCAATTGTGACACAAAACGGGTTGGGTGTGGGGTGGCTGCGTACCGCGGGCGGAATTGACGAAGAGCATGTTGAACGTTCGGCTAGAGGCACGTGTTAGAAAACCACCGGAAGACAATTGGAGGAAGACTTCAACTCACGCTAACACTTCATCAACTCGGTAGATATCACTGTTAAGTAAGTTAGCCAGTGTCGGTATAGTATACGCCTAGCACCAGAATTGTGCTCGGCGAGGAGAGTGCATGAACAAGGTATCGGCAGACGTGGACCGGGCCGCAGCAATGACTTACCTCGAAAATCGATTGAGTATGCGTCCTGCAGGCGTAGTCTCAAAGAAGCTCATTGGCGAGCGGAAGATGGCAAACGCCATCCGCTCGTGTAGCTTTCGGCTAGCTTCAATGGAGCAGAAAATCCAGAGGATCAACGTCTGCACCACGACAAGGGCAGCAGATCCTACACCAAACGCAAAGTAGATGCCGATGTATTTCCCCACATGAGGGTTTCCGCCGTAATGCTGGTTGATCTCTGACCAATGCTTGAGCCACACGCTTGCGCCTGCATGACGTTAGCGTCAACCTCGAAAGATGAAAAAGCGACGAGCCAATAGCGTGCTAATCGAAGCCGAGGACCACGTAGAAGCATTCGACGCTGTGCAACTTACCAATTGATGATGTTTGAGCACCCAAAAGGAGCATCAGATAGATGGCGACAGCTGCAAGATTGCTGGTCTTTGCATACTCGCCGTAAACGGACCACTTGACCTTGCCTTGCTCAGAGAACTCCTTGGTCTGCTTGCTTTTAAGCCCGCCGCCCTCTTCATCGGTCATCTTGCCGCGAGGC